CATGGTAATAAAGTGAGCGATGATCATTATTAATCTACATCTTCGTTACTATGGAATTGCTATGACCGATCAGTGTCTGTTCACTTGACCTTTGCGATAGAAATGATCTTGTTGTACTATTGAACTGATCTTACTACACTTCTCTACTGTACCTAGTAACCAAATCATATGAATGTAAAATGAATTATTGATGGTTTCATGACTCCTCCTTAAAATGGAAACAAGAAATTCAAACAAAATTTAAATCAAATTGTGGGTGGCCCTGAAAAGGGCTTTTACTCGGTCTCTTCACAGGTCCTTAGGTCTCTGTGTTCTACATAAAAGATACAGGAACAACTAATAGGATTTTTGGAGACTGTGTAAGTTCCTGTAGTATTAACGGCCGTGAAGAACTCCCCCGACAATACGAAGTCAGTAACAGGAACACGCAAGTGCCGCTTCAGCAGTTGACATGCAGCAGGTGTAAGTAGTTGTGGCTCGCGACCCAGCACAGCTCTGCTACGACATTCAGTGGAGTGTTTTTGAACTCTAGCTTCTATCCAATATCCAGTGCGAAGCAGAACACTAAATATCGATCTGAACACGGGTGTTTTTCTGTTCAGCTTATGCAACTTTAAAATTCGATGGGTCGTCTCAACGAAATTTGTATTGCTTTGATCTAGAAGCATCGCAGATGGTCTAAAAGCGTTCGACCACTTGTGCTTTTTGGACAATAGCTGATCTCTCAAATATTGATAGAAATTCCCGTCTGTTGCTTCGATAAATGACACATACCGTTGGAAGCTACAATACATTGTAAAGCATATTTCGATTTACCTTTCCACATTTCTTGTTAGCATAAGACGGTAGAACATTTGAAGAAGATCAGATCGTAGCCTCTACGAATACGATGAATGGGTTATTTGTAAAGAAAGGAAAGCTTACCCTCTTGATGACAATTCGAAGCAGGTGCACGCGGCACAAAAGGTGGTGTGAATTGGGATACACCTGCGTTATGGCAGCAGCTATAGCAGGTGAATCGTCGGTAACAATACCGATAACCTCTCTATTGTTACTCATTTGGCGGAAGAACGAGAGGAAACTGGACAACAAAGTCGATGTTTCGCGACTTACAAATGCAATTCAAACAGGTATTGCCATGCAATTCATATCCAGAGCCACCACGTGATAAAGAAACATATTTTCATTATTGGTTTTGTATGTCCCATCAAAACCAACAACATATAAAAACCTGTTACACAGATTGATCTGGTCTGCTATAGCGAAGAAGAAGTACAACAGACTATGATCTTCATCCAATTGATAATCACAACGGCCGCCAAGTGACGTGATGTGATTTTTCAACTTACCGTAATCACCTACAGTTAATAGTATAAATATGCACATTGCTTACCAGGAAGGTTGGCCTGTGAGAACACTTTGTGACACATATTAAAAACATCTTGAGCTGTAAGACGTTTCCCATAGGATTGGTACTCACTCTGTCGACACACAAATTGATGTGAAGCCACCTCAAATATGCTCAGCAATAGATAACACATATGGACCAAATAGGTAGAGATTCGTTTCAGAGAGGTCTGTCCGAAATAAAAGCTTAAGGAAGTTTATTCTGCTTCTCGTTCTTTAAATGGTATGCAGCAGGAAGTGCCTGGAAATCGCGATCAGAAGGCTAGATCTGTTTTCAGCAGGAAACACAACCTAACTGCTCAAGTCGTCGATAACCTTCCGGAATTCCACAATAAATTTGACGTGACTGTGATTGCTACTCCAACGAAAGTTGATGAATGGGTAGAGGTCGTAAACAAGAAACGACGTAACTATATAAAATAGAATTCAACTCGTCAAAAAGAAGTCATGAAATCAAGAACTGACCATTGTGCTAGATCAGTTATTTTTCATAGAATCAAGGATAGTGAAAGCTGTGAATCTAAAACTCGTTTTGAGCATGACATTGGGTTTACAAAATAGCTACTTAATCAGCTTATGCCACAGGATATCTCCGCAGTGACTTGCTAAAGGTGTTTACACTGGATAGCCAAACGGGCTCGGCTTGGAGACTTCAATGCATCCACGGTAGACTGAAAAAATCTGAGGACTGAATTGTCAGAAAATTATTTCTGGCAGGAACTAGGTGATGAGGTTATCACATGTGTCCTAGTGCAACATATGAAGGAAGTGAATTGGTATGACCCGGACTCTGAATCATCATTATCAGACCTACTTACCTGTAAACAAATCTCCAAAGTAGATATTTCGGTTTGCCTTCAACATTGATGGCGACCTCATCAGTTTTAATGGATCCACTCTAGTTGAAGACACTCGGTTAAGCATCTGCACTTGAACTCCGTTGAGTATGCCATCATATACGTGGACGAAGACGTTGTCAAACCTTGAATATCCGTAAAACCTGTAGTGGTGAGCCTAACGTGACCTGATTCATCAAACAATGAACTGTGAGTTTTATCCGTATTATAACATTATATCATGTTTTATTTTTAAGTATCGTAATGTTATTTTTCCGCTATCAGTCTTGTTATCTCTCATTATATATCCTATCTACATAGAGTAGGAAGAGACGCTCAGACTATTTTTGTTTAAAATTCTCTCTCCTCCCCCTACCAAGTTTCAACTGATCCACAGGACCTTGAAATATCAAGTATAGGGACAACCTTAATCCATTGGAAATAATATCCCACTTCCTACTATCGATAATGTATCCCAAGAAAGTGGAATGTGAGATTTAATCGGTTCTATGTCAATTAATTGTAATGCATATGATTTGCTGATCGGCATAATGTATTGAAATTCAAGCTCAATATTTGGGCTTTATTAAACCAACAGTATACTGAAGAAATTTACGGATAGCATCGTAAGTAGACTGGACAATGGAGCCAGATTCGACAATCGAAACAGCTTAAGATGGATTTCGAAACTTATACGTAGCAGTTACTGCACCCCAAGGGGCTGAGAAACTCTACACCATGGTTCAGTAGGGAGGTTCGCACCCTTCTTCGTAAGAGGAGAAGAATGTGGGATAGATTCAGGTTTCTGGGTACTGATGAGACAAAATCTCAATATCGAGAAGCTCGGAATACCTTTGCCTCAACCCTCCGTAAGTCTAAAAGGTTGTCCTAAACGCTTGTATTAGTATATAAGCCAGAGAACAAAAAGAAGAATTAATATTTCAGCACTATGGGGAGACAGTAATGCTTCATCATTAGTGGAGGACGACCTTGGTAAAGCTCGCGTATTCTCGAACTACTTTAGCGATGTATATACCGCACAAACGCCTTTCTCGTCAGTCCGTATAAATCCACCCCCACACACCGGAAAACCTGACCATTGAAGGATTCGATGTCTTTGGTCTGCTAAATAAGCTTGACGTAGGCAAATCCTTGGGACCCGATGAACTGCACCCTGGGTTACTTAACGAATTGACTAACTTTGCTGCGAACCCTGTAAGTATGTGCTCCAATCTATCCGTAACCCAGGGTCGTATACCACAATACTGGAAGAACGCCATAGTAAGTCCTGTCTTCAAAGCAGGTAGGGAAACATAAACCTGAGAATTGCCGACTTGTTAGCCTGACCAGTGTGGTTGCTAAAATTCTAGAAAGGATTATTCTGAAGGCGCTGTTTAAATATCTCTGTGAAAACCGGTTTCTTTTGGAAAAGCAGCATGGCTTTAGAGCAGGTTCTCCCTGTCTCACTGATTTATTAGTGGCGCGTGAAAGTTGGTGCGCTCTTAAAGACCGAAAGTTACCTATAGACGTAGCCTACATTAGCTTTAGCAAAGCTTTTGACAAAGTTCCTCACAACCTACTGTTATAAAGGTTAGGAAATGTAGGGGTTGGAGGTAGTCTATTTATGTAGATAAAAGACAACCTACAACGAGTACGGGTGAACTCCAAGTTGTCTAGCTTGGAAACTGTGCTCAGTGGAGTGTCTCCGCGTACAGTTTCGGGGTCAGAGTTATTCCCCTTATATGTAAATGACCTTCCTCGTCTCCTATCATCATCGGTATTGTTGTATAATGACGATGTCATGATATGAAGAGCGACAAAAAGTAAAGGTAATAGCTTAGAACTTCAAAATGATCTGGAGAAATTATCTGAATGGTCTCAAACCTGGCAGTTGCCGACAAATACTTCGACGTGTATTGTGATGCATAATGGTCATCAAAGTACAGATACACGGTGAATAACACTGAGCTACCTGTTGTCCAGACACACAATGACTTGGGAGTCATCGTTATCCAAGACTTAAAGACTACTGCACACTGCCGTGCAATAGCCGCCAAAGGTTTTAGAACCCCATGGCCATAACGTAGGGCCTTTTGCCATGTCGACGGTAAAACGTCTTTGAAGTTGTATACAGTATTCGTGGGTCATAAACTTGATTACTGCGTAAAAGCGGCTAGCCCTTGATCAAAAATGGACAGAAAAGGTTCAGAGAACAGCAACTAAACTGATTCCCGGATAGAGAAGCTCCCGTATGATGCTCAACTGGCCAAACTAAACCTATTCCTGTTGTCACATCTACGAAATAGATGGGACTTGATTACAGTTTTTAAATTATTTAGTGATAAACTTGCACCTGATATGCCCTCATCTTTCCTGTCTTCCACCACAAAATGGTTCACAAGTCTAGAACAAATTGCTTGTCATCTGACTATCGACCTTCCCATCGAGTTATCAACGCGTGGTAATCATTATCACAGCACGTGAGTGAGGTTCCATCAGTCAACTGTTTCAAAAGAGAATTGGATCAGCTGAGAGATCATTATTGCCAAGACTAACACATGCCATCAGGCCTCGTGTTCTTTCCAAACCGAAACTGAAACACATTCATAACTATATTTTTCGCTATTCAGGTCTGAGAATGTAACAGAAACTACATCCAGGGTGCCATCACAATAACCAGCTTGAGATCATAAGAAACGGACATTTCGCTGTTTCTACCTAACAATATTTACGTTTTCAATTTCAAAGTCGCAGTTTGGTTTTTGACTTTTGCGTTACTGCTGATGAAGTCAATAAGCGAGTCTGGTGGGTATGTGTCGTTTGGTCTCCCAGAATTCGAAAACTCTCAAAGAAACAGCGGATTTTTGAAAAGATTTGTAAATAAATTGACCAGTCGTGCCTCCCTTCACATAGAGGATGATAAAAATAAGTTTCAGTCCACAAAAGTCACTCAGATATCAGCTGATAGTGTAAGTTTGTTGTAAGTCTTTGCGTAGTCTTTGCTCACAGTTTAGATTTATTTGTGCTACTGGTTCTGGGCTGCTTGGCCATGCTTCACACACATCGTCATGACATCACTAATTAATTGTTTTGTAAAATGTGCCTGTTTATTCGGTTTACTCTCCACTGTTTTCGTGTTTTAATATGCACGTCTTAATCAAACAGTTAAATTAATCTGAAATTTGAACGGAAATGAATAGGGAATCGTTCAAGGAGATTTTCATTATTTGGTAAATAAGTATGCAAATTTCGTAACAGGAGACAAAATCAGGGTCAATTCATAGGTGCTCTTTAGTTGACCTTAATAAATTAGAACGGATTTCAGATCAGCCAGTATAAAAGTATAGTATTTTTACGTAGTTTATAAATCTCTAGAGGTTAGTAATGGATTTGAAGTTGAAGAAACAATGGTGTAGATATTTGGCTTCGTGGATGAAAAATAGCTTGGATAGATTCTTATATACTGGTAAAAATAGTTTTCCAACCGTCTTTATGCTTCGTCAATGTTGTTCGTATAGATTAACCTCAATGGTAAATACTACAAACACTAATACGTATCAGGTGCATTTTTTTACCAAAATTCCATAAAATGATCTCCGGAAGGAGCCTTTTTTCCTTAAAGTGCATTATTATTACGACTAATGGTCACCTTGCTTATTTAAACCATGTTTTTCAACCGAGAGTGATTCTTGACATCATACATCTTCGTCCCTGCACTTTGATTTTGCTGTTTAAGGCAACCGAATTCTGGTCAACTTTATAGCATTTATTTCTGTTGTTGTGTATAACACTGGTTTGTCATGCACAACTTCACTTTTTGCCCAAAAGCTTACTGTTCCGTGCTTTTTTTATCAAGGGTTTTCAAATAGGTACTAAATTTAGATCTGGTTTGTCTTATTTTTAGATTCATTTCTTTCTGTATTGTCCCATGTGTTTTACCCTACATGTATAATAACTTTCGAAATCCAACTGAAAGGGTGGGACTTGTTAGTAAGATCTATTATCTAGTGTCTTAATGCCACTTTTCTATCTTACCTCTTAAAAATGCTGCTACTGGAAGGAGTTGGAATGTATCCATGACCTTCAGGTTTTGCGGAAGACGCATGACGTGCAGTCTATGCAAATATAATTATGTTTCTGCACCTCAAATATCACTGAAAATTATGTGTATGTGCGTAGGTAAATGGTATCTTTATAATATTTGATTTGTTTGGAATATCTAAACGTCACTTGAGATAAGAGTCTCGGAAATTCTCTGTTATGAATGATCGACTTACTGTTTATCGTTTAGTGGACCAACCTCTGATTTTAAAGTTCCTAGTAGTTTTTGGTTGCGCAACTTCATATGTGTACATACTGAGCCGTGCACCCAGTAAAAAGAGATTTCTCAACTACCCTACTTATTCAATGTACACACGCTAGACGATTGACCGTATGCCTAAAATCATTGTGTGATCACACAGTGCATGAAGAATAGTTCGCTTGTTGTCAAATGTTCTCAACATGCACATGCAGATCAAACTACTGTGTTTCACAAAATTGTAGCTGCTTCCTGTTTATTATTTAGTAGCCCCACTAATTTGTGTACCACAGGTTCTCTGTCTAAACTAAGAAGTGTATAACTATACGCGGTTTCGACCCAGGTTTTATATTCATTTTAAACTGTTACCCTTAAATGAAAAAAATGATTGCATTTTATAAATGAGACATGCTTTGGTCTTTCCATTTACCATTTGATTTTTTCTCAGTAATACTCACTTTTTATAAACTTGTTGTGCGGCTGATAATTTATTTTCGATACAGCTTATTGCTACTTGAAAATCTAACAAACTAACTTTCAGGATATTAGAAAGAAACTCTTTCGGGTCAATTAAAAATTTTAAATTATTGGTGGGATATAGAAAGATTGCTAGACAAGCAATTTTAAACTTAGGGGTAGGGTTCTAGATGAGAACAATCGGTCACTTTGTAAACCAGTATAAACAGGCTGCAACGTGCTAGCTATTAACTTCTGCGAGTGTCGATCAAAACGACTACACTTTTGCAAAAGGGTATCAGGAGTAACGTCTACGCATAACATCGGCTAATAAATCCCGACTGTTCGTCCAATCTTATTCGTAATCGAAACTCAATGTTTCGAATCAGCAAACGTGTTCATTATTGATTGAAAACCTTTGAAGATACACTAATTTATTTTACGGTAAATGTTAAAAAATACATTGCTTCATCCTTGTTCTGTATACATTCATGTCTTCAATCCTGTTCAATTTTAATGTTCTACTTTCGTCGATTATCTACTGCTGATGCTTTTTTTGTAGCTCCTTTCTTCTGTTCACTTAGTAGTGTTTAAGGTTAGTTATTACTGCATTTTAATTAAAAGGTAGTGTCAGTTAAAGTAACTAAAACACTTCCACAGTTCATTAATATAAATTGTTGATAGTTTGTATTGTATCTAAATTTCTGTAGAAAAATGAAAATAAACTGTCTCATAATAGCCTCTCAGCATTGGATGAAAACATATCTGACGGAGTGTCTAGTTCTTCTTCACATAATCAATTGCCCGGATCTATTCGACCACCTGAAAGACGCTACTGGATGCAAGATGAAAATTGCAAATTTTGTTTTGAATGCGGTACACGTTTTACTGCCATCCGCCGTAAACATCATTGCCGTGTTTGTGGGAGGATATTTTGTAATCAGTGCAGTAACCAGGTAAGTCTATAGCACTGTTGGGTAATATTTTGTCGATCAAGTGATTTTTTATTCTCATCAGTAATGAGTTTGAATTTTACTTTATCTACCGCGAAAGATAACTGATCAATATCGTAAATCCTCATTATTTTTGCGATTAATAGCTATAGCTATAAGTAACCGAGTCACAGCAGGTGTTTTGATTACATTCGCTTTTTGACCCCTGAGACCAATACTAACCACATAAAAACTGTAGACTCCCAAGTGTCATTTAATACTACAGTAGCGTCTATCGGAAATATCTAGAGGACTAGTGAATCCCGGAAACTTCTCAATTAGTTGATTTTTAGGACCATTGCTGCTGGCTTCGAAAAGTAAAACAGAGTAAAACTAAAGTATCAGATGAAAAACTCCATAAAATGATGATGGGGAATAGCAGAGGAAGAAAATAGTGATGAAAACTTCAGTAGAGATAAATAAAGTGGAGAAATTCCTCTAAATTCTCAGAGACAGGCTAACAAGTTAGTATTCAATGGATCTTCCTTCGAAAAGTGATGCCATAGTGCTTCACTCATAGACTAAGCAATCAGAGCAGTTAGCATCACATTTTAAAGAACAGTTGATTACCAACTTGTCTCGAGTCGCTCATTATCTACAAATATCCTGAATGAAACATTAACATAATATCTGTCAAGGGAGCTGCGATAAATTTAAGCTAAGGCATTGATCGACTAGCTTTGATGACCTGTAAAGATACTAGTTTACGGTCAACAGTTAGATTCACTGAGATATGAGTTGGCGTTAAAGGTTTGCTTAATTTTGTCTGTCACAGATCGTCATGTCTCTTAACACAGGTCAAAAATTTTATTGGAATAACGGTGAGTCAATCAGTTTGACTGACAATAGCTTTTATAACTATCCAACTCTTAGTTGGATTTAAAAGTCGGCAAACTGTTCAAAATTCCGGCGCTTTAACCGGGTTGGTGGACACGGAGGGTCCACCTAGGGGAGTTGGAAAACCCTGATTCCAAACCAATGGTGCACATGGGCTCCAGTATCCTGATGAAACGAATGGCGAATGAACCTGTTGTTGGTCAACGGCTACCATGGGACTGCATCTCCTTACGATGCTCCACTGCCTTGTGGATTAGATCTTTCGGTCAAAGGCTCCGGGTGTGGTCCCCTAAGAAAACCACCTGCTTCAGTTTGGGCACCTGGGCAGTATCACAGCCCTCAAGCAAATCGAATGGGATTTGTCTGGCGCATATGTATCTGGTGCTTCCTTGTACCAATATTTATGTGTTTAAATAAATAAATAAATAAATAAATAATAAACTGTTCAAAATAACAAATTCTAGGCTTGGCTATAATTGTGTCGATCAAATATTTGCTCTACCGTTGGCGACTGTGTTGTATGGCTCAAAGTGAGTTAGCCTTATAGATTCATTCTTTCATCCTTCTGTAGATCTTGACCATATTTGTCCTGTATTCTTCACTCTTCTTAGCCTCATAACTTTCTCTTGGAATATGTTTATCTATATTTTTTAGTTCTTGGTTTTTAACAGTATTATCAGCAGAGATGGATGGTGGCTAGCAGTGGAACCCAAGACGCGCGTCTCGTCCTATTTGGGACTCGTCAACTGGATGTACCTGCATCCCAGAGTTTAAGGCCACTCGGAGAATCGAACCCAGTAGCGTTCGTTTCAAAGGCCATCATGTTATCCACTTAGGTGCTGAGTCCTGCTAGTCACTAGTATGTGAAATGGTGTGAAGTTTGAATTCATTTTGTATTGTTTGTGTGAATCTTCTGGTTGATGTTTAGAACTTCAATTGACCAGTCCTCATCTCACAAGCTAGTGGATATCAGGACTCAATAGCTAAGTGGATAACACGATGGCGTTTGAGGCGAACGGTACTGGGTTCGAGTCCCGGGGTGAACAACAGCTCTGAGATGCAGGTACGTTCACCTGATGAGTCCCAAATATAACGAAATATGCGTCCTGGATCCAACTGCCAGCCACCGTCCATGTTCGCTTATAATACTTGTGACTCCAGGTAAGGCAATCCACACAGAATGCACATATGCCAATAACAGGATGATCAATTGCAGTTCTAAACATCAATGGGAAGATTCAAACAGACAATGCAAAAATGTTAACAGTATTATTTTTCCTCGAACATTTTAAAAATCTCAAGTTGTTTAATAAAATTGTGGGTACTGGAAAAAATTTCTACTTATTATTATTATTATTATTATTATTATTATTATTATTATTATTATTATTATTATTATTAATGGCTTTATTCAATATTATAATCTGGTAAAATATAGAATTCTCAGCACGGAATTCTCAAACACTTATTATAATATTTGTAGAAATCTTTTTTCATAGTTGAAATCATGAATCAATTGAAGCTAGACCACCATGGAAAACCTGGAAGCACGAAACGGCCGTCCAGTGCTTCCAGGTTTTCCATGGTAGTCTAACTTCAGTTGACTCATGATTTCAACTATGAAATACTGAAATCTCCACGAAACCCCTTTTGATTAGAAATCTTTTTATTTTCAATCTTCCACTAATTTTACAGATTTAGTTTTGTTCTTCCTACAAATATGTAGTGTGAATTTTCTGTATTCATCTAACTTTTATTGCGCTTGTTGTCATTTGTTAAGATTGTTGAAGGGACGCAAATTGGACTTGATGGTCTTCAACGAGCCTGCAGTTATTGTGCTGAAACACTAATTAGTACTAATACCAATAAACCAGAACATTCATTGGACAAAAATTCTGTCAGGTCGCTAAATACAGACAATATTCATGGTTTGAAGAAAAAAATAAGCTTGATTGAAAAAACCCAGAGAAACAATACCCGACCAAAGTCTGTTCCATCTCATGTTAGTCATCTTTCCAATCTTAATATACGCATGAGTACTGGTTTGTTGAATATATCCAATTCAAAGGCATTGCTTACTTCACCTTCATATTTGAACAGAATAGCTGTGGATTTAGTTAGCCCAAACAATTCTACTTCTACCAGTTCAGCATATGAATGCAGAGACTTGTTTCCTACATTTTTCTCAGCAACCTTCCCAAACGGTAATGATGCATCTCCTTCATTGGATTCTATTAGACAAACAATGCACACCGTTGAATCTAGTACATTTGGTGTAATTCGTCGAACACCGCGCATAAGTCAGGGTCTAGTTTTAAATGAATCGTTGAATATAGATATTTGCAGTGCCCCATTCAAAAAAATTTCTTCATCTCATTCGTTTGAATGTTTACCAAGCAGTGCATCGCAGTCATTATTCAATCCATCATCAGGTCAAGATATACTTTATTTGTGGTCAAGGCTTTGGGCTAATTCACCAAAGGATCTTGAGTTTTCAATTATCAGTATTTCACAGTTGACTGCATCGTCAAATGGACCATTAAGTCGTGTACATAGCCATTCAAATGAAAATTTAACGCAAGACAACAATTCATGCAAATCGTTACAATTATTTAGACTGAAAAACGAATATGAAGAGTACTACTGTACTTATGGCCTAGTACTAGTTCATTGGTTAGTCAATAATGTACCAGAATTGGAACGTTGTAGGTTAGTTCTTTTGGAAATATTGCTTGCGTTTAATCTAGGTTGTACTTATATAACTTGGCAGTATGCTTGAAGTTTTGTTAGGTACCATAAAAAATACTATACATTCTTTGCGAAAGTGGCATGAAAGTCTCTTAAATTGCCTTCATATATATATATATATATCTGTTTAACAAAATGCAAGTGACAGCTATTGTACAAATAATTATTAAGAAAAACAGTGTAAATCACTATCTAAGCTTTGAACCTTAGTTATTAGGCGTGTTGGTGGTAATACCCGTAGGTGGTAATACAACGTAGGACCAGGCACATATATGGATCGGTCCAAGTTTCCATACCTCATTAGCACAACAAGATGAACACCAAATTGATAAAAGTAGTTAATTCAATGATGGTAATTTATTGAAGAAGGGTTGTGTATAGGGATATAGTACAGGTGGAAAGAAAGATATAAAGTAATTTTAATCTCATAGTTTAGGGGAAGATAGAGAGTGTATACACCTACGTCATTGTGATCTATTCTGAGCCATGTCACACAGTCTCCAACCATTAGTTACGATAGTCACGCGGACCCCACCAAGTAGTCTGAATAGACCAACGTGGCTCAGACTAGAGGTTAGTGACTTCAAGCACTGATGCCACATTTTGGTTTGGCCATCCCTAACTCTCTTCCAACCATTTCCAACACTAGTCAGCATTGCGCGTCGTGGTAATTGGTGTTCAGTTGATCAAGATTCACAACCTCATCGGCTGATTTACCGTCATTCCGTAATACCCTTCGTCTAACCTCACTATTACTTACCCGGTGATCCCAGCAGATGCGAGCAATATTCCTAAGACATCTGTGGTCAAATACTAGTATCTTACAAACATCTACTCTTAATGGTCACGTTTTGCAGCCGTGATGTAGAACAGAACGCACTGCCGCACAGTACACTCGTCTCCTAATTGATAGACGTAGGTGACGTAAGTTGGCGAAGGTCAACTGAGCTTTTTTAATCCTTGCTGGTAGTGTGTTTCATAATAATGTTCCATTGATTTACAGTAAATGACCTTGAATGAATGAGTTATTTACCAGATCATAATTAAAATGAGAGATCATGGATTTAAGTGCTTTATTATTATTATTATTATTATTATTATTATTATTATTATTATTATTATTTAAACACATAAACATTGGTACAAGGAAGCACCAGATAGATATGCGCCACACAAGTCATTCGGTTTGTGTGAGGGCTGGGATGCTGTCTAGGTGCCGGAACCGAAACAGGTGGTTTTCTTAGGGGGCCACACTCGGAGCCTTCGACCCAGAGGTCTAATCAATAAGGCAGTGGAGCAACGTCAGGAGATGCAGTCCCATGGTATCCGGTGACCAATAATTGGTTCATACGCCATTTGTTTCTTCAGGATTCTGAAACCCATGTGCACCATTGGTTTGGAATTAGGGTTTTCCAACTTCCCTAGGTAGAATCACTGTGTCTACCAACCTGGTTAAAGCGCCGGGCATTCGCTTTTCGTTCTGTCAATTTCGTTAACAACACCTCCGCTACGACAAGGTAGTGGGTAGAACTTTCCTAGCAGTGATTGTATGCACGTGGCCATGTAAGAGCATTTCAAGAGGAAGAGCTGAGTTTTCCCACTCTCGGCCATATCAGGGCATTTGGGGGCTAACAATTAGTCGTTTGCAATAAATGAACCTTATGTCAAGTGGGAAATTTTTTAGTTTATGAGGTTGATATTAGACCACGATCAATAATTGGAAAAGTATTTAAATTCTTCTCCCATTTCAAATGTACCTTTCTGTACTTTATTTTCTATAAATTAATTCTGTTACAGAATGAAAGGACGACTGCTCTGCCAGAAATTTATGGAATTTGGTTTACTAACTGATCTACAAAATCCTAACTGTAAACAATTTCATGACAACTTTACATTTTATAAACTAAAGCAGGTAAATGATAATTTGTTTTACTTTTCTTTTCGGTACACCAATAAAGTATGCTTACATTGACATTTGATGACTTCACAAAACAAATTTAGATTTAGTGTCTTGCACTAATATTTTAAAATACGCAATGTTTTTTGGTAGATATAAATTGTTTTCATTGTACTGGGTAAGATAGTCTTTTTGTTAACTTGTGTAAGTTAAAGGAACAGTAGAAGTTGTTGCTTTCATCCATTAATTTATATGCTTAGTAGTGTAACTTTTCATATCAATATAACCGTTCGATATTTTTGTCTATCACTAATACAATTTCCGTTTGTATTCTATAACTTTAAGCAAAGTCCATCTGATCTCTTTTTTCCCAAAGTATTATTGTGAATACTCGTCGTATCCAAATTCTGTTGTTCTTTCATTCCCACTCATTGTCATTGTAGTTCTCTTGAAAGTCCACTTTGATGATCTGCAATTACCTCATCCTTTTCATAGTAGAAATAGCTGAAACATTCTTCCTACCGCATGTTCGTAGTACTAGACGACGAAGATTATGAATAACAAAGCAACGATTACAATCGTATTAATTAATGGTTTAATGTTTCTTTTAAATGGAACAAACAACTTCAGTGTAATTTAATGTATGGTTTATTGAGTGCATCAAACTAGATATATCAGGTTGACTTTAACATGACCAAAAAATAATTGACTTCTGGTCAATTTCCTTAAAATCTCAAAAGTCAGTAGAATGTTTTTCCAGAACAGTTTGTCTGTTTCTTGATGTCATTATTTGTTTATATAACTATTTTAATAATAACTTACTATTAGCCTTTTTCACATATATTTTATGGTATGGAAATTTCTTTTTATTATATATTACTTTGTGTTGCTTCCCCCTCCCCATAATTTACTAAATTCGTTTAGTATATTGTCTGTTACAAAATTATTCGTAGACGGAATTCATCCATTGAGATACGGTATAAGAACGATTGGAACAGCGACGAGTTCTCCTTTTGGCGAATTCACTTTCAAATCTGACAATCGCAAATATATTTATATTTATTTTTCTGGATAGTGATAATTACAATAATAGTGATAATAAATTCCTGTTAAACAGTGCGGTAGAATAAACAGAGGTATTTAAACATTATTTTCATCAGGGAAAACAATAATAATTTTATTGTTAAGGGCTTGAGTATTCACAGATGTTTATTTTCAATGTTTATTATTGTTCCAGATTGATTCAAACAGTCGATTATATGATCAAACTAATTCAAGAAGAAAAACTGTGGATTTTACTTCATTTTATAATAATTTTAATGTGAACTCAACTTCTACTATTGATACTACTTATTCAAGTATACTTGGGATTCATGAACCAAATTGGTTATTAGAGATTAATAGTTCTGAGAATGAGAGTTCTAGGTCTTCTACACCTTACTTGATAGAAGGTTTCAATGATTTCAAATCAAAACCACCTGGGGGTAAGTTTATGAATATTATAGTTTCTTGTATTTAAATTTTTATTAATTGAAATTCATGAACACAGAAAAGATTGACAAAATTTGTCAAATTTTGGCACATATTTTATTCTTAACATATTGTTCGTTTTTTACGCAACCTTATCAATAAACCTGTCGATGGGATGTTGAAGTGATTAACACAAATTTTTAAGAGAACATACAAGTTTGACTGTAAACTGATTGTTAGAACAGAATACCCAAAATAAATTGTTTCTTCGTTATTTCTGCTAGGCAAAATAATTTGTTCAATTTGCTTCTTTTGATATAGAAATGAGTTGCTACCTAGCTTGTAAAATTTGAACCAGGTGGGAATTAAACAAGTCATAGTTTCATGAATCTATATTGTTAAGCGTCTTACTTTTATTACGTACATGTTGTCATTTATATACATCACATGTCATTGGGAAAATTACAGGGTCTTTAGTGATACCATACTTAGGTTTATTAGTGATACACATATTCCCCTCCGTTTATTACTCTGGATCAAAACACTGAGCTTCTGTTTGTAGATTTTTTATCACTATTGTTGTAATATCATTGGATTTTTATTGTTGTAGGGAAGTAGTTGATACATTACACCAATATACATAAATGAAAATGTATTGATCTTTTGAGAATCCTGCTATTTTATAAACAATGAACAAGAAGTGGGCATTATAATTTAGTAGTTTTAGTTGATAACTCTTTTGGTGTTTTTATCGATTCCTACTGGGTTTCAATTCTATGACTTGAACCCAGTACATATGTCAATAAGAAACTGACCAATCGAAGTCCTAAACATCAATGGGAAGATTCATACGAACAATACTAAATAAATTTATTCACGTTTTAGTTTGCATGGGACATAAACTTACTAAACCAATGTCCAGCGTAATTTACATACAGTGACTGTGAATCCAATAATCCTCTAATTAAGATTTCATCGCATTGGATTATTAAAATACCGTTTTATTTATCGTATGATATATTTTCTAATTTATTTGTTAGTGTTTTATATATGAATAATTTGCCAAGTAACCATCTAATTTTCGATATTTTAATTACGATTATTGTTCAGTTCGACCCAGTTTTGAAGTTGGAAAAGATGTTAGTAGAATGCGAGATTGTAGTCTTGAATCTCTTGGTTCAACACAAAAATGGAAATATACAACACAACCAACATTAAATAACCACCAGCAGCCAATTGATTTTTCAGTACAGATGAATACTGATGAATACATATGTAACATGAAGTGAGTTTTTCCTTTCATTTGTGTTTGTTTTTATGACTTCCTCATATCATCGTTTGCTATTTTGGTTATGTATAGTTGTTAATTCTTTCAAGATTGATATGATTTACAGGGTTAGGAGTTATAACTAACTTATTTAGGTCGAGGTAATAATGAAATGAATGACATTTTAACTTTGTAAAGTATGCATTGATCTACGAAGTATGACAGAAGCCAATATTTTGGACGCATTCGGAAGTAGACTTATCCCCCGATATTTGTTACAGGAACAACGTGAACTCTTTTTAAAGATAGGGACAACTATCGACTCATTTCATGACGTTGGAACACTCCCCAGCTCTCAGACCTTTGTAAACAACTCAATCAGCTCCGTAGCCAGAATGTCACCACCATTTTCAAAAAGAGCCGGAGGTAAGTCATCTGGGCTCGGTGATTTGTAGCGCTTCAAGAGTCGGAGTTCCTTGCGGACTTCCGCCTCGTTTGGTGCATCAGTCTTCACCGGCCATGAAGGGCAAAATAGTCTGATCGATGTCGCTGGAGCAGCAGGCCAGTTGAACTGTTCTTCAAAGAATTCCGCCCATCGTTCAAGACGTCAATTTATGTTAGTGATTGGCATCCCGTCATCCTCACAGATTGTTTGGCTCACACCAGACCTCCTGCTGCCAGTGGCTCGGATGAGCTGAAAGAGCTTCCGGTGATGCAGATGCAGCTGCTGCTTCCATCTCATTAGCGCACTCCCACCACCATGCTTCTGGGTCCTTACTCAAGCTTTGCGCAAATTCACCACGTAACAGCCTTCGTTTGTGGTCAAACTCACGGTTATCCGGAGTAGACCGACGGGCTTCGATGAGTTGTTAGGAGCCTGAAGAAACCCAGTGCTTATAAAATGGATGTTTCGCGAAACCGCAAGCGACTTTACTCGCTATTTTCGTGGCGTCATGCAGTTGCAACCAATGCTCATCTATACTTTTCGGTGGGATGGCAACTAGCCTAGAAGCTAGCTCGGTTCGATACTTACTTGTAACAGAAGTTGCAACCAGTTTACTAACATCAATCCGTTGATGGCGGTCAATTTTTCGGCCACTGAAAAGTAAGGTAAGATTGGCGCAAACCAGGGCATGGTCAGAGTCCAGATAGGTACTCCAAAAGGAGCGGCAGTCTTGTACACAACCACGCCAGCGGTAGCTGATCACGATGTGATCAATCTGAGTCCAGGTTTGAGATGCAGAGGGAGGACGCCAGGTGGCACATCGACGATGACTGTGCCGGAAGTTAGCGCTATTCCGAAATAGGTTGTGGTCTATGCACAGTTGCAGTAGACGGTCCCCGTTATCTGTCCTGCGACCAACAAGTCCCCATTGGCCACCTAAATGACTCTCTTCTGTGCCTAGACGCCCGACCTGTGCATTCAAGTCTCCGGCTAGTACTACAATATCTGTCGAACGCACTTTCTGGAGAAGAACAGTTAACTGGTGGTAGAATTCGTCCTTGATTGCATCCGGGCTGTAATCTGTCGCGGCATAGGCGGAAATGACGAAAAGACACCGTTTCTCACGCCGATTTCTTCTCACTTTGATGTAACTTTCTAATCTAACAGCACATAACCGACTGTTAATGGGGATCCAATCGATTAGTGCTGCCTCAGCTCTAGCGCTTAGTGCGACACCAACGCCAGCAAGATCAGATGAAGATGCCACAGGGCCCCCGGATAGGCGCACGTGAAACAAGCTTTTCGAGGCGACAGATGGAGAACGAATTTGTAGTTCTTCACTAGAGTCTTGAATTCGGGTCTCAGATAGGCAACAAACGTCGATATTAAGATTTTCTAGAAACATAACCAGCCCTATCTGTTGTCCGATCTGCATTAGTGTGCGAACGTTGAGGGAAGCCAGTTTTGAACGGCGTACGTGGTTTCAGAAAAACTGTTTCAGTATTCGTGACTCGAGATCGTTTGGATAGGACAGGGTTTCCACCATAAACGGACCCCTAGGTGGAATCACCGTGTCTACCAATCTGGTTAAAGCGCCGGACATTCGCTTTTCGTCCTCTCAATTTCGTTAACAACATCCCCGCCACGAGAAAGTAGTGAGTAGGTCTTCCCTAGCAGCGGCTGTATACACACGACCACGTAAGAACGTTTCGAGAGGTAGGGCGGGTCCTCCTCACTGTAGGAAGCAATTTCCTACAGGGGTAACCCTAAGCTATTCTCTAAACTGTCGAATACAGAGTCTTGGTTTTGCCAAAGTCAGAACAAGTAAGTTATTTGGCCTAATAAACTTTATCTGTTTCTAAAACGTAAATTAACAACATTAGTATGCGAATAAACAGTAGTCTATTACATAGGGAAAAGGTGAAATATAAACGACATACCGAACAGTAACTGGAGAATAGGAAAAATGAGTCAAAGGGGAGAATATTGTGTTAGAATGAACATAAAACTGTGATTGGTGGATAAAACAGAGACAGTCATACAAGGTCAAAGAATTTTTTGCGGTGGTGAGCGTTTCACTTATCATTGGTGTATTCGCTTATCGATCTCACTTTACACTCACTCTTTGCCGTACCAGGGCATTTCGGGACGTTTTTGAGGAGTTAGTTACATGGGCTTGACATAGAGAGCGTTACCTTTGAGTTCTTATGAACATGTATCGATATGATCAGGGAAAGGAGTCACGAAATCAGTCAAGAGTGACATACTTTCTCACTTAGTAGGTAGCGAACATCATCCCAAAATAAGTGAAGCCCTCCCATTTCTGCATTAAGTCCCGGACAATCTACCTGAAGAAGCAAGACTAAGGCTCGTATATGTAGCGGAAGCTGAATTAACTCTATAAAGCCGAACTTGTGCGTTCAAAAGCGGTATATTCTATTTCTCCACCTATTATGATCCATAATAGGGTTATCCCATACAATAAATTATATAATAGACCCCTACAGCCAGTATACTTTTTACGTTTATCTCTTCTATATCATTCCTAATTTGCACATCGTCTTTGCTCAATTCACTTGAATTTCTTACCTCAATCATGTTCTTCTGGCGACATATTTTATTTACATGGTTGGAATATTATCACTAATGATGCTATAATATATTAGTAATAATAACGCTAATAATAATAATAATAATAATAATAATAATAATAATAATGATAATAATATTATTATTATTATTATTAGTATCTCAATTGGTCATACATTCCTCTTATTCTACATTTTATTCACATGATTTCTCTAAGCGTGTTGTTCGCAACTTGATACCTTACGTTGAAATTTCCCATCGCTTTGAATAAATGACCTGAATTCGAAATTGATATATTTTAGATATATGTAAACCTTGCGGCTTCGCGAAACGTCCCGCTTACAAGCACTGGGTTTCTTCTGGCTCCTTACACCTGATGGAAGCCCGTCGGTCTACTCCGGATGACCGTGAGTTTGACCACAAACGAAGGCTGTTACGCAATGAAATCGGGCAAAGCTTGCGTAAGGACCGGGAAGCCTGGTGGTCGGAGCGTGCTAATGAGATGGAAGCAGCAGCTGCATCTGGTAACTGCCGGAAGCTCTTCCAACTCATCCGAGCCACTGGCAGCAAGAAGTCTGGTGTGAGTGAAACAATGTGTGAGGATGATGGGATGCCAATCACTAACATCTCTCGACGTCTTGGACGATGGGCGGAATTCTTCGAAGGGCAGTTCAACTGGCCTGCTGCTCCGGCAACATCAACCAACTTGTCCTGCCCCCCGTGGCCGGTGAAGACTGATCCACCAAACGAGGCGGAAGTCCGCAAGGAACTCCAACTCTTGAAACGTTACAAATCACCTGGCCCAGATGACTTACCTCCTGCTCTTTTTAAAGATGGTGGTGACCTTCTGACTAAGGAATTGACTGTGTTGTTTGGAAAGGTTTGGGAGCAAGAAAGTGTTCCAACGTCATGAAATGAGTCGATAGTTGTCCCTATCTTTAAAAAGGGTTCACGTTGTTCCTGCAATAACTATCGGGGGATAAGTCTACTTCCGAATGCGTCCAAACTATTGGCTTCTGTCATTCTTCGTAGGTTGTTTAAAACCCGAGAACGATTGACTCGCGAGGAGCAGGCTGGTTTTCGTTCTGGTCGAGGATGCATTGATCACATCTTCACCCTCCGCCAAATGCTAGAACACCGTCATACTTATCGCAGGCCAACAATCGTAGTGTTTCTTGATATCAGGGCGGCCTTCGATTCGTTGGACAGGACTGTTCTCTGGGATTGTCTATTGAAGAAGGGTGTGCCTGAGAAGTTCATTAACATCTTAAAGGCCCTGTATACGAACACCTCAGGCAGAGTGAGGGCATACAACTACCTTTCTCCCTTGTTCCATTCGAACAGTGGGGTTAGACAGGGTTGCCCGATCTCACCATTCCTCTTCAACTTTGCTATCGACGACATCCTGGAAACAGCTCTGATGGATGTAAGTAATGGCGGTGTGGATCTGCTGCCTGGAGAACGACTTCTCGACCTCGAGTATGCGGATGATATTGTCTTACTGTGCGATAATGCCTAAGACATGCAATCCGCACTTAATCAGTTGGCAATCAGTGTCCGCAGGTACGGCATATGCTTTGCACCCTCCAAGTGCAAAGTACTCCTACAAGACTGGCAGGATTCTCATCCTGTACTCACCCTGGATGGTGAGCAGATTGAAGTAGTTGAGAAGTTCGTGTATCTAGGTAGCTATGTAAGTGCTGGTGGTGGCGTAAGTGATGAGATTGATGCACGTATAATGAAAGCCAGAGCGGCTTATGCCAATCTGGACCATCTTTGGCGCATTCGTGATGTTAGTGTGGCTGTAAAATGTCGGATCTACAACGCGTCGGTGAGAGCAGTTTTGCTCTATGCTTGTGAAACTTGGCCTCTTCGAGTTGAGGATGTTAGACGACTCTCTGTGTTCGATTATCGTTGTCTCCGAAGGATTGCTGACATCCAGTGGCATCACCACGTTAGTAATGCAGAGGTTTGGCATCGTGTGTTCGGGCGCAGTGATGATAATTCAATTGGTGTCACCAGAGACTTCCACGTCGTGCATTATTTGCCGACCCTGGGACTGGTTGGAAAAAGCGGAGAGGAGGTCAGTGTATGACATGGTGTCGTGGCATGAAAGAAAGCTGCAAAGGGCTAGCTTCTGTTGGTCCTTCACGACTCCCTAGCTGGGGTCCGAGAGATGGTGCAACACAGTGGCTAGAGACGTTATCAGATATGGCTCAGAATAGAAGCCAGTGGCGATCCTGCTGCAACCTTCTTTTACTTTCTACATAAAGAATGGTTCTAACTTTCCTAACTGAAAGAGTCTTCTGGTTGTATATTTCAGTCCGCCTTATCTTTTCATCCCTTCTCTTCCTACTTTCATTATTTTGTGTGGCGCATATGTATCTGGTGCCCTTTTGTACCAATATATATGTGTTTAAATAAATAAATAATAAATAAATGTAAACCTTTACTTATGAAAAGTTCATTATTTTGAACATTTAACATTGTTCATTTTAGTTACTCACATGTTCCTTCCTTTGGCCATTTTAACACAATTATGGATTTATAATGACAGAACCTGATGACAAAGTGACGGTAAATTAGCCGCTCAAAAATCTCTTATTTCCGAACGTCATAATTAAGATTCTATCACTGACTCTGACAAGTAAACAGGAGCCTAAAATATGTTATATTCTAGTTTCACTCTGTTTTTATTTCAAATACTTCATCGGTGTTCTTTCGTTTCATTAACATAATGTAGGATTTGTGGGTAGCTAACTAGACATGTCTCTTCATTCATCAATCATCACATTTTCAACTAAATTTTTGAGCGATAGTTTCAAAAAATCTCAATATATGCTTTCAAGCTTGTTTCAATAAAACTGTTATCTATAGACGTGCTGTAAATATGTTTAATTATATGAGTTAGAATTTTAAAGTGCATAGAATTGGTTTGAATAAACCTTCTTAATTTACCTCTTTCTGTTCACATGTTTATTTGAAAAAAACTACTATTAGGAATATCTTTGATAAACATATATATCGGTTGGTTTTACAAGATGTACGAGATAATGTCTTAGATCCTAGCTGGGCATCAATTCTAATTCGTTTAGCATGGAATGTTTGTCAAACAGTGCACTTTGATTTACGATCAACTGGTTTACGTTATTTTCAATTTAATCGACAACAGAAGCAACAATCTCAGTCAAATAATGAAACCGTTAAAAATAATGACGTACAGAAATCCGTTATGAATTCTAATACTGTCTATAAACAACAAGTTTACTCACCAATGGATATTCGATATTATGTACATATTAAAAAGGTACGTTCTAACCTACTAGTAGTAGTGTTTCAATAATTTAAATTTTATTTACAGTTTAACTGACGATGATATGATTTTATTTAGCCTTATAAATGGTTGGTAATCATTACAAAATATTGTAGACGTTGTCTTTTGGAAATGATGACACTCATCACTAAATCCATCATCTAACTCATAAATAAATTCATACTTGCATTGAATTTCAAATTCATAAGTAAAATTGAATGATTTGGAATTAGATCTTGTGTAAATAATAAGTTTCTTCAGGGTTTTCAGGTTTGTATTATATAAACAAATGCTCCTGTCGATTTTTATTTTTCGGTTAATTTATTTAAAATACAGTGTATTTTTTAAACTAATAATGTTACATTTTTAAACCATATGTCAATGATTTGATTTACACTGTCTTATTCGGTTTTTAAATTTTCGTGGTTGATTACCGGGATGAAAAAGTTACAATAGTCATCAATATTACAGATTTCAAAACAGTTTAAATAGACAAATTACTCAGTTTTTAGCTTACATGCTTAATAACTCTTTCATGATCTTTGTAAAAATAAGAACTTCACTAAATGTGTTCATATTTGCTTTAGGGATTTTATTGATATGACCATTCGTGAAGAATGTGATATTGATAAGTGAGAATTAATCTTGGTTTTCAGATTTTACCCTTATTGATAGACTAGTGATCTAAACAAACATTTTTTTCAAATAACTTCTAATGTAGTGAACAAGAAGACGAGTGGGGACAATCGAATGTACTTGACACGAAAATTACAGACTACCTCACTAAAATCTGACAACCATACAGTGAACAGTTAATTTGCAAAGTATCAATCAATTGTCTCAATCTTGACCATTCATTCTGCAAATATCAGTCTATAGTCTCCGATTATTATTGTTCATGCATTTTCATGCCAACAGAGTCTCATTCCCGTTCTCTTCTACTGAAATACATTCAATGGCCGACCATTGTTATATACTACTTATGTGGATATAAGTAGCCTACACCACACTAATATTTTATACAGGTGTGTGGCATTTTATTAGGGAAAAGCCTGTTCTTAACTGGCCCTTTTTTACGATTTTTTATATTAGTTAGTACATCTAGAGGTTAGCATAGATAATTTGACTTGATGCTTAATTAATTATTATCCATATTATAATAAAAAAATTTGTAACTTAATTAACTTGAATATATTACCAGTGTTAGTAACATCATTAGATCTTATTTCTCCCATAAAGAGTTGATTGTTTTACATGTTATTTAATTAATAATAGTGTTTATTTATTTTAAAACTATTATTATTTGTGTTTGTTGATTAAAATAGCTACTGGATGAAGATAACAAAAATTCAGACTTGTTCCCTGGTCTTATTTTCTCTAAACGTCCAACTCACAAACTAATGCCAACTGTTTTAAATAATCCTCGTATACTTCTTTTGGATTCATCTATAAGTTATCAACGTACTACTTCTAAAATGACGTGGTTAGAATCTCAGATCATGCAAGTATGAAAGAAAAAAAAATATATGTATATATAAGGATATATTTTATATTATTTCTTATGATAGTTTTCATTTTTAAATAACGTCTGGTGTTGATATTGATTTGATAAGTCATAATTGTTTGCTGGTAAAATGATTATTTATGATAGTCTCTTTGCTCAATAATAATTCTTAATTTGGAAAGTTCAATAAATTTTTTTTCTTAACATTTTGTATTATTCTGATTATCTAGAAATTGCTTAATTAAATGTTAGTAAATAAATGTAATGTAACTTCTTCCATATCAAATTTAGACATCGATATTATTTACATTGTACTCGTAGTGGAAAAAATGAAACTTGAGTTATCAACGTAAATCGTATATATTACTCTGTTAATCATAATGTATTTAGGTCCATCATATCATTGTGTACTAATTCTAAAACTTCAGTATTTCATTTAGTCAAAATTATCATAGAATGTTGTAATATTGAACTGTGTAAGTCTGGGTTAGGTTAAAACGTAGTCCGGTTAATTAGTCAAAGTCAACGGACCCCAACTAGTTAGTCTGCGTCTACTAGTACGGCTCAACCCAATAGTCCATATCCTAATGAACTGATGCAACATCTTGGATTGACCGCCTCTAGCTTTCTTATAATGTACTCCAGCCAGCACTGTATAACGTAAAAGTGAGTTTTTTCGGGCGTACGTAGTACACTTCCCAATCACCTCAGTCATTAAAGATTCACCACTCTATCAACCGATTTTCCAGTTTTACCTAATACCCTACTTCTAATTTTAAGATCGCTCACATGATAGTTCCGACATACACGAGCAATAGTCTGAAACTATGATCAAATACTAGTAATCTACGGCTATCTTCTGTCTTTGAATTCCACGTTTTACAGTCATAAAATAGATTAAGACGGACTGCTGTTCAATTTATTTATCTTTTGATTGATAGACGGACATTTAGCCTGCAGGGCAATGGTTAATTGTAGCAATTATAAAATTAACTAATCCATTAAATATTTGTCACTCATGTTTTCTTCGGTTTGGTGAATGGTTATCCGTTGCAGCATATTTGTCACATAATAAAGTCCCACATTTTAATCAACTACTATTTTAGGTGTGTCCTCTCTTTCTTGACATCCGATATATGTGTATGGTTAATTCTGTTATCACTGTACTAAAATGGTATACGGCGTATATTTCCTTCTTTTTGGTTGTTACAGGAAGAAGAATACATAACCAATTGTGTTTGTAAAATTCTCTGTCTACATCCTAATATTATATTCGTCAGTGGAACTGTTTGTTATTTAGCACAGAATTTTATTTTCAAATCAGGAATCATTTTATTTTCCAATGTAAAACAAGTAAATGTCAATTGTTAACTTTTTTGTAGTTTTTTAATTTATTTTATTTAAACACGTAGATATTGGTACAAAGGAGCACCAGATATATATGCTCCACACAAATCTCATTTTATTTGTGTGAGGGCTGTGATAATAATCTCAATTAAAAGAAAAGTGCTTATGATAATAAGTTTTTCCGGACTACATTTCTTAATATACAAATTATTACTTCGTTTGGTTCGCCATATATATGTAAATGTTTAGTAATAACGTAATTGGGATATTCTCAAAAATGACAATTTGTTAAACATCATCTAAACAATTACTTGTTTTTGATAATTTCCCTCACTCAGCTTTACAATTAAGGGTAGAAATGTTTATTTAAAATATATAAGCCTTTATGCTGAAGTTCATGGAAAAAGAAGAAAACAAATAACTAATTTTTGTATTCATATATATGGACGGAAACGTTTTCAGGATGTTGCTTCTGCTATGTATACTTTATAAGTGTTGTCTCACAATTCTTTGAAGCTTTACTACTTACACTCTTTATATGATGTTCAATGATGATCTCTTTTCAATTTATATTCTGTCTACTAGGTGAAATAACGTTGAACGTTTGGTAGATTCATTGTATCTTTTACTTAGCCATACTGCAGTGTTTAAGACAGTCACGATGGGTTTGCCTGATCTTCCTCCCTATGTAATTATCTTCGTAGGTGTAGTTAAACCTAGGAAATCTATTCAATACTCACATCGTCTGTATACAATAGGACGTAAATAGAATATATAATCTTGATGACAAGATGTTCGTTTATTATTATTATTATTATTATTATTATTATTATTAATTTTCGTTTAGTTGTTAACAGTTTAATAATTACATCCCCTTTGAAAACATGTGAACTACTAAATTTTCTTAGGCATTTATGTCAAACCACATCTTAATGCAACTTTCGTTGTTGCAGCCTTCAATAATTTTTACTTACTTACACCTGTTACTCCTCATGGAGGAGTATAGGCCGCTCACCAGCATTCTCCATCCAACTCTGTCCTGGACAGTCTTTTTCCAGTTGTTTCCCGTTGCAGTGCATCTTATCAATGTCTGCTTCCGATTCTCGGAGCAGTGTGTTCTTCGGTCTTCCTCTTCTACGTTTCCCTTGAGCATTCCAAGTAAGCGCTTGCTTCGTGATGCAGTTTGATGGTTCCCGAAATGTGTATACTATCCACTTCCATCTTTTTTTCTTAATTTCCTCAGCTGGAAGCTTGTTTTGTTCTCTCCCACAGTGGGTTGTTGTTGGTGGCATCTGGCATACCTGTACTTTTTGGTGATGTTTTTAGTAGTTCTCAAAGTTTCAGCTCCGTATGCTAGGACTGTGTTGACGTTCGTACTGATGATTCTCAGTCTGCTGAAAACTTTTTCTGGTACTGACAGTAGTGTGATGCCTCTGTAGTTCTCACATTTGCTTAAATCTCCTTTCTTCGGTATCTTGATGAGGTATCCTTCTTTCCTGTCTGTCGGCACTTGTTCTTCCTGCATAGAGTGTGATGCATGGTTGCAGTTGCTGCTTACCCGCTCTTGATTTATCTGATGGCCATCCTGATTTCTTCGGTCGTTGGTGGGGTGACGGCTATAGGAAGGTCTATGTGTGCTGCCTCAATGTCCCGTGGATTTAATGGAACTGGCCTATTCAAAAGTTCTTCAAAGTGTTTCGCCCATATGTCCGTCTGTCCTTGAACCTCAGTGATTGTCTATCCTCCTTTGTGCTTGACCAGTCTCTCTGTTTTACCATATTTCTCTACCACTTTCTTCGTTGTGTCCTATAGTTGCTTGATATTTTTTTCTCCTTCAGCTTTTCCTCTGTCGTTGTTAGGTCCTTCACGTATTTCTACTTGCCAGCCCCTAATGCTCCTCTTCATTTGCTTGTTTGCTTCTGTGTATTCAGCTTGTGCTTTCACTTTTTCTGTTCTTGTTCGGCTGTTGTTAATTGCTGTCTTCTTGTTCTTCCTATCTTAACTCTTGTCTAGGGTTTCGATAGAGATCTATTCCTTATGATGATGTTTTTTATAGCACAGAACCTTCTGAGACGTTGAAGTTAGTGCTTCTTCCACCCTTTTCCAATTGCCTTCCATCGTATTTTCTTGTTCTTTCAGTAGACCATGTAGAGCTTGGAACCTGTTGTTGAGAGTTATCTTGCATTGGCTGAGTTTGTTAGTATCTCGAACGATGACTGTATTGAACCTTCGTAATGCTGTTCTTCCAGTTCTCCAGTGCTTCTTTAGCTTCAGCTCCTCTCCTGGTCTTCACGTCTTCTATTTTCCTTGTGAATTTTTTAGTGGTGCAAACATGATCTATCTGGTTCTCCGTGGTTCGGTCCGGTGAGATCCACGTAGCTTTGTGTATGCGTTTGTACGGGAATATTGATCCACCTATAACCAACTTGTTAAATGCACAAAGATTTGCAAATCTCTCCCCATTTTCGTTTTTCTTTCCCAGTCCATGTCGTCCCATGATATCATCATATCCGGTGTTGGGCATTCTAACCTTAGAGTTTAGATTTTCCGTCAAGATGGTCAGGTCCTTACTTTTGCACTTTGCTATGATTGATCTCAACCTCTCGTAGAACTGTTTTTTTTGTCGCCATCATTGTCATCATTGTTGGGTGCATAGCATTGGGTAACATTCATTGTGATAACCTTCTTCTTTGTCTTGAATGATGCTTTGATGATCCTGTATTCATCGAATTCCCACCCAATAAGTGCATTTCGTGCTTCTTTGTATAGCATTAGAGCAACTCCTTGAGTGTGTAAAGCGTTTTCTTCTTCATGACCAGAGCACAACAGCATCTCTCCCGAATCTAATCTTTTCTGTCTAGCTTGAGTCAAATGAGTTCCTCTGATTACGAGTACTACCAAGTTGTATCTCCTCATTTCCGTTGCTATTAGACTGGTCCTTCCGGTCTCCCACATTGCCCGGACGTTCCATGTACCTATAAAAATTGTTGCTCTGGTTGTTAGAAGGGGCATAGGCCTCGTGACTTCCGAAGAATCCCAACTTTCTTCATGAAATGTCATGATTCTTCCTCCAACTTCTAGGACAGAGTTTAAATGCTCTAATTTGTTTATTCTGGTTAACGTTTCTTTAGCAAAGTTTTCTACGGGATGGAGTTGCCGACTCCACATCCAACACCCCTCTTCACCTGGGCTTGGGACTGGCAGTAGCTTTGGAACAGCTACCGGCGAGGTTTCAAAAAGTTTCACTGAATAACTATTTTCGTACAGGTGTTATATTTTGATATCATCGCTCTTTAGTAAATGCCTTCCAAGCATATAGTTCTGTACCGAAATATTAAACAGTAAATGCGATTCTTACAATATAAAGAGTTTGCTTGTTGTAATTTAAGTGGTTCGTTCAACAAATAAGTATATCTTCCTTTAATGTTGATCTTTATTAAAGGAACGCCCCATTATTGTTTCTTTTACTCTGATTCGCACATTTTTTTCTCGGGACAGTTAAAATAGGAATAATTCAGTTTGTTGGGTTTACACGTAAAATCCTTCTTTTTTTCATAGTCGGTGTTGTACCGTATTGCACGAATGACGGGTGCCGATATCTTGGATTCAATTGATCGTTTAATGAGCAATCCTTCAAGAAAATCAGATAACAATACTCAAAAGTCAGCAACTCGTCTTGGTGTTTGTAATCATTTTGAAGTTAGACAATTACATTTACCAGATGGTAATTTTGTGTTTGCTTTGCCTAATTAACCACTTTATTTTATAACTTTTTAAATTCTTTGTACTCGTTAAGTTTATAAGGTGACTTTTGAATCTCATTGAAATCAATCTTTAAAGAGATGTGTCGGTATTTATAGACTCAATATAAGACGAATTCCTCTAGTAGTAAAATATATCATATAGACATCAACTGCGATTTATGTTGAACCGAAATAATCTACTGGATTGTTTTCAGGGATATCCTAAAATTGATCGAATATTATCAACTATCGTTTATTAATTCAGAGAGCAATCTACCTGAAAGAAGTTCTTTGCTAATAATTGAAGTCTATATAGAGCAGTATAATGCTTCTTTTACAAACTTTAGATGGATGATCCATCTATTATGTTTTACTATCGTAGATTAGTTATTTTCCCCTTACTAAACCGACTAGTTAGCTAAAACGAATGAATTTTCGATGTTATATTCTTCATCATATTTCTTAATCTGAAAGTAGGCAGCACTATGTAAACAGATTTTTTGTTACTTAGAATAGACTATATGTGGTTAGCAATGGGATCCAGTGCATGCATTTCGTCCTATTCGGGACTGCTCGGCTGAATGTATTTTCATCCTAGACTTGATGTGCATTTCGAAACTCGAACTCATTATCGTTCATTGTAAACGCCAACGTGTTATCTATTTGGCTATTGAATTTAGTTATCAATAACGCGATAATGCAAGCCATTAAAAATCCGATACTTTGTTAGCTGAAAAAAATACCATTTTTTGAACTTCGTAAATAAAAACTTTGAAATTTCTGCTTTGCGTTTGTTTTTATTTGTAAATTACAATATTATGTAATAGTATTTATCGTAGAAATATTCCAATGTTTGCAATCTTTCGGCTTATCGCAATTCAAAAATACTCGCTTTTATTAACGTTTCAAAGGGTAGATAATGGGAGGTAAACATTTTGTTGCTTTCTGATGAAATATTTGAATGTTTGGTTCAGGTTTTATCTTGTAACGCTGTTAAACTTTTCAAAATTTCAACAGGGTTCCTAGTCTGAAAAATGTTACATTCTGGATTTTATGCGTTTCATAGTATTTTCCTTTCATTCACTGCTTCGTTTTGCCAGGTTCTACAAAATTTCTTACTTTCATGAAAAATAATTCTACCGAAACTGGTTTGGTTCTTGATTCTAATCCTATCCGGTATATCACTCATGAAGCGACTGTTATTCTACGAGATAATGATCTTGCTTCACTTATCCGTGCAAAACGTTGTTTTCTATTTACATTGCGCTTGTGCTACAATGCACAGTTAGAATTGGCTTATTCAAACAGTGGTCATATTTTCCAGCTTCCTCATTTGTTACTGAATACGGATACCCATTCAAGATCACGTATAAAATCTCTAAATAAGATGTGTTTACAAAATGATGCTGAATATCCACCGTTTCCTTCTCCAGTACCGAGAAAAAAGGCGTTATCTGACCTCAATGGTTCAGTTATTTTTATTTCTTCTGTAAGTTTACTAATTTTTTGTTAAGCATGATTCTAATATAAACAGTTACTACCATATAAGTATTGTGAAGTTCTTCTGAATACTATGATAGACAAAGTTGGCCAATTCATATTTATAATTGTTAGCTAGTGATAATTTTTCTGAGTGATTATTTCGGCTTCGGTGTTATCGTTGCCCCCAAATGCTCTGCTGCAGCCAAGAATGGAGAGAGTCAGCTCTCCCTCTCGAAATGATCTCTCATGGCCATGCGTATACAGCCACTGCCAGCGAAGTCCTGCTCATTGCCTTCTCGCGACGTAGTGTTGTTTACGAAATCGAGAGGACAAAAAGCAAATGTCCGGGGCTTTAATCGGGTTGGTGGTGGTCACCGGCTACCATGGTACTACATCTAACGTTCCCCCCACTGCCTATGAGTTAGAACTCTATGTTAAGGGCTTGGTGTTTGACCCCCTAAGAAATCCATCTACTTCAGTCTTAGCGCTCAGGCTGTATTCCAGCAAATCGAATGAAGTGTACTGCTTTTATATTAGGTGCCTCTTTGTGCCAATGTTTGTGTGTAAATAAATAAATAATCATTAGTCATTCAAAAGACTCTTTTCGTTATTATTATCTGACTCAAACATAAGTAATTAAAGGACCAGATACAGATGTGCATAAGTCAAAATTCCCATAACTCATCAGCACGATGAGATAAAATTACGAAAATTAGAATCAGAGTAGTACAAATGATAGGAACATCAGTGTTAGTAGAATCAGTTAAACATAGAGGAAGAACTCGATAAATAAAAGTTTCTAAATATATTTAAGAGTCTAGATCTGATGGAAGACAAATAACAAACACATACACACCATCGGAACCAATTTTAAATCATGTCGTCTAGTTTCTCCAACTAGTAATTGCTTCTATCACCCGTACTTTAATCAGGTAACTTTTACGTACTCATATGTCTCAATCCAATAGTCACTGACTCTGTGAACTGATGTCACGTCTTGGCGCCTGTAGTTTTCCCTCAACTATATATTCAGTTGTATATTGTTCATTGTACTCTTTTCGTTTATCCTTTTTTTGTTCTCTATAGACGATCGAAAAAACATCTATATCAAACGATGAATATGACAAAAATCCCTGCTCTGATTTAGCAATGTATCTTCAGGGACGTCTATTATCTGTCTCACCAAGTGTTGAATTTCGTTTACCCTATTTAGCGTCTATAGAAGGCCAGTTATCTTATTTATACCCATACTACACTTATGTAATTGACTGGCCATTAGGACGTAGACTAAATGATTTGATGAAACGGAAAGAAAAAGTAAGTCTTATTTGTCAAGTGAATTTTTTTCGATAGATTTTTACCACCATTCTTTTTGGATTAGTTTATGCTAATTACTAAGCATATGTTATAATGTTTATCGGTAATGTCTCAAGTAGCGTCTTTTGTCTAGTCAAATCCCATTAACTAGGAAAACCATTCAGCTATTATAAGTTAGCTTTCGTATATAATACTGTTCCCTACAAAATTTATTCACAATCGACATAACACAGTGATAATAATACATCTCCAAACGAAAGCTTTATACTACCATGGTAGAGTATATTTCCCTAAATGTTTGGATCTGAAGTGCCGTGAAAATTCTCGTTCTTGTACATCAAGTAATATCTTTCTTATTTGCTATACTTTCTCTGTGGTCATTATTATATCTTTTAAGATGCCTCTATATTAACAACGATTAGAAAGATGCAATATTTTTATGAGAAGAGGAAATTATTCATTTTAATTGACTCTGATTTAAATGTCGAAGATTTTACAGATCTAAATTCTTTTTATAAATGTACAACATATAGAGATATTTTTATAAAACTGTTAAATTAATATTTCACAACAGTTGGTCGTTAAATTCACTTGAACTCATTACCTTTCACTTCAAACGCAAGCGCGTTATCCACTAGGCCACTGAGTTCTGATAGCCACTTGCTTGTGCGATGAGCTGAAGTTTAAATTCACTTAGTATTGTTTGTTTGAATCTTCCCATCGATGTGTTAGGACTGCAACTGGTCAGTCTCTAATTTGCATATGTGCATACTGTGAGTATTGCCTCGATAAAGCCTTAATTCACAAGCTAGGTATGCAAAGATGGATAGTGGCTAGCAGTGGAATCCAGGACGCGCGTTTCGTTTTATTTAGAACTCGTCAGCTGGATGTAACTGCATCTCAGAGTTGATGTTCACTCTGGGACTCGAACCCAGTTCCTTTCGCTTCAAACGCCATCGAGTTATCCACTCAGCTACTTGTGAATTAAGGCTATATCGAGGCAATACTCACAGTATGCACATATGCAAATTAGAGACTGACCAGTTGCAGTCCTAACACATCGATGGGAAGATTCAAACAAACAATACTAAGTGAATTTAAACTTCAGCTCATCGCACAAGCAAGTGGCTATCAGAACTCAGTGGCCTAGTGGATAACGCGCTTGCGTTTGAAGTGAAAGGTACTGGGTTCGAGTCCCGGAGTGAATATCAACTGTGAAATGCAGGTACATCTAGCTGACGAGTCCCAAATAGGACGAAACGCGCGTCCTGGATTCCACTGCTAGCCGCTATCTATCTTTGCTTACAATGTTGGTCGTTTATTTAATGAAAGACTTTAAAAAAAATATCATATTTGTACAGATCTCAGAGACTAAATTTAAAATAACTTCAATGTTTCTGTTGGCAGTCCGATCCGAGCTTCGTTAGGGAAGTTTTTATTATCTCTTTAAAGGAACTCAAATAAAACGTTGGATTTATTTGTACTTTTAAGCTCAAAGATTTTTGCGAATATAATTTCCTCTTTTCAATTACATTGGGATATGTTATGATTATTCAATGTAAATTTAATATCATTTTTTATTATTTACATAAAAATTGATATTTCCAATATTTTGTTGATTTTACCACAGATTTTAAATAGCGAATTGACAGCATTAAAATATGACATGATAAATGATAAATTACATAATTATCCATCGAAACATATTTCAAGTAATGAATCATCTCATCCATTCACAAAGTGTAATTTAGAAATGTTTTCATCGCCTACTTTATATAATTCAAAATTAAGTCGTCTTTTACCATATTTTCTTAGTGATAACAATGACAACAATGATAGTTTTAGGAAAAATAATTTTGCAATTGATGGATTAATTATCTCTGAAACATTGACATCATCTGATGAAGCCTTGTATACTGATTATAAAGCTAGAGGTTTTATGAATAATAATAATAAACAGAAGAACATTGAAAGTCGTCGTTCATTTCCACGTCTTTGGGCTGGTATGAACAGTATTTTATCTGGTCATTGGAATTCTTTATTTAATACAAAACATTTGAGATCATTCAAATCAGGTTCTACAATGACATCAACTACAACTACTGGTTTTACACCTACTTCTAATGTGCAACTTATCTCGGAATCTGAAAGCGTAAAGGTAAGCCTATTAACTTAGTTTGTTTTCAAGCAAATTAGGATTTTTTTTTTCTATTATCTTAGGATGTTATAATAAGTTGTCTTATCTTAAGGTTTCATTTGTGTAAGCGTGAATGTGTATAGTTCAGAGAATGAGTGTTTAAATGAGAGTTTATTCTTAGTTAAGATTTCATGTCGCTGTTCATTTTATTCTCTCAAATCTTATACACGTAAAGTAAATGTTGGGGATGTCAAATCCCCAGAACTTACTGGGTAAATGGCTTAGTTTTGTAATTTCATTTTGGAAATTTGAATTTAGCTGTTTTCGTGCCAAACACGCTCTTTTTACCTTCACGTCATATTTTTCACTTGTAAACTATCTTAAACGCTATTGGTCCATTGTTTCTTTGTGTGTACTATTTACCAATGATGCTCAAGGACAATTTGTTGCTGTATAAATGCGCTTGACTTTTTCCCTTATTCGATTGCTTGTACTCGGCTGCTTACGGAATACATATATATTCCCCTACTTTCCTTGGACTTCTTCATCTAGTTAGCGGGGCCTGGGACAACAGATTAGAATAGCTTATCGTGTCATTGTGTCATCGGCTTTCGTTCGTTACTGTGGAATCGATTTAGCATCAAGCATAACAGTAAACATTTAAAACAACAGCAATAACTTCGACTAAATAATATCACCTAATTCATTGATGCTTATTTGCTGTAAACTGTTAGGAACTATTCGAAGCCAGTATAAAAACATATGAGCGGAATTAAAAAAGTCTTATATTGAATTTTTTTTTCCATAATAAACAGCAAACATGCAGAGGATCTGATCATGTTCCAAGTTGCATTATTTCACGTGAAGACTATGAAAGATGAGTAAAAATGAAAATGTAAAGACAAAATGTTAAGCAAAAAACATCAAATGTATAAAATAATATGGTGTTAGATTTAAAAGGAAACAATTGGTTGCACACATATGTATCATTCCAAATTATTGTAAGACATATAATTTAAAATATTCCATCAAATTCGATACCCAAAGTCCTACTTTTTATACTTGGAAACACGAACCATTGCAATTCCCATGATGTAAAGTAAAATCACTAAGACTGGTTTAAATGAAGATTCATTGACTTTTCAAAAACTTAACGTCATTAAACCAAATACATTCATTTATTTGTTGGTTTTATACACATTTTATAACTGGGTAATAAGTATCATATATATGAAAAGATACACAGGATACCTAGCAGGATTACTTTCATTAAAAAAAACTTAGTTTGAAAATAATATTTTGTCTTATTATCTTGTATCATTAATAAATAGCGTCTAAGAAGAAGCATTTTAGATCCACGTTCATACCAATCTTTGAGTTTTCTTGCAATATTATTTACAACAAAATGTATTATGAGACCAGAACCATGTGTTCCACCTTTGATTGCTACAGTGGAATTTTACGGTTCAAATGATTTGCCGTTAGGATTATTTTTGGAGAAATTTTGTTTCATGTAAGCTTTATTTTTCTAAGTAGTGTTTATATTATAACAATGTAACTAAATTTGTGTTACTATATTTTGCAAAAGGTAACTTTTTAAAACTTTCTCTACTATAAGATTAACTTTAATTCCCACTAAACTGAATAAGATCTATTTTTATGCTTTTAAACTCACCCCGATTATGTACTTAGTCAAGGTCGTAGCCTATATATTTTTTTCGTTTAATTCAAAAGGATGGATGTATATATAACTGATTCATGTAAACATCATTCATTTTGCTAAATACAGCTTCTTAGTGATTTCCCAGTACTCTCAATCACATATCACTTCGGGCCAGCATAAAGAAAACACATGTATTCTTATCTAATTTGAGCGAGCCCAGAACGTATCAAAAACGTACTCACTGGTTCCGACAACTGGCCACAATCTGTTTGTTGTAATAGATATCAAGTGCTTTTCGTTTTGGTTTTTTCATAGAAGCATAATTAATATGTTCTTTTTGACATTTTTTAGGCAACAACATTGTCGTAATCCACTTTGTAATGTAGTAATGGCTGATCATATTCAAAGATTTATTCAGACTTCAGGATCAGTACAACTTATGATTCGTCAATTGATTCAAGATCCACCTCGATCAGAAGTGTTATCAGATATACCAAATCAAGGTAGTAATGATGCAAAATATCGTCGTCCCTGTCGTATACAAATGTGGTTATTCTGTCCAATCTGTCGTATTAATTCACCTATCAAACATATGTCTGCTGATACTTGGCATTTGTCTTTTGTAAAATTTCTTGATTTAATAATAAATAGTTCTGACAATTGGGCTTATTGTGGTCTATTCAATAAAACCTCGGATGATGCAGTCAGTGAGGTCAACACAACTGATGCGTCTAATGAACTATCACTTAATTCAGTAAGACATGGAATTGAAAATCAAACTATGAGTCCAATATTACAATTCCAGTGCCCACATTCTGTGTATAAATGTTTGGAACATTGCTTTGCTTTTAATCGAAAATTAGCTATTTTTAAGTAAGTAAATGTTTGTACGAATGTTTACTGAACTAATGTCAGGAATTTAATGTTATTTATTCTGCGGAAAAAATGTGTTAGTTACAATCATATTGTTTTGGATTTTCATACTTTTAAGGGGTTGTCAGTACTTTATAAAGTATCAGATTTAATTATAAGCACAGATGGATGGTGGCTAACAGTAGCATCCAGTACGATCGTTTCGTCCTACTTGGGACTCGTTAGCTGTATTTACCCGCATCCCTGAGTTGCTGTTCACTTCGAGACTCGAACCCAGTACCGCCCGCTTCAAACGCCATCACGTTATCCACTAAAGGGCTGAGTCCTGCTAGCCATTAGCTTATGCAAGGAGGTGAAGTTTGATTCATCTTTGTATATTTTTGTTTGAATCTTCACATTGATGTTTGGGATATTCCTGCTATATAGTTTAGATTTTAGTATCATAATAACGTAGATTTTACCTTCAACTATTTATTTTACCTTGATATATGGTATTGATCTTCTCATAAGTTATTTTGTGTCCCTACTACAGGTATCAACCGGTTAATGTTTATGAAATTGTTATGCCTCCAAGTGAAATTCGTGTGTTCCCGGTGAAAGCCGATAATTTGAAGTCGGAAAGTACTCGCATGTTAACTACGAAAAAACTAACTACTGAAGGTCACATGAATACAACTAATTTGGAAGATGGTTACTGTGCGGATAGTACAGATCATACTACCGCTAGTGCCACTAAATCTCATAGTCAGTCAAATAATCACAAGTGGGGATCAAAAGTTACTAACCTGGAAAAAAGCTCTCATTTACCAAGTTATCTCTACACTGAAGCATCCGACGTTTTAACAAAGTAGGTACCCATTATTTTAATAGTGTTTGTTACAATGATGAAACAATATTATAAGATTAATGAAATCAGCGTAGGCTATGCCGAAATCTGATGGTTTATTTGTGTCGAATAATTGGTTAATTGCCGGTATCGTTTTTTTAAACTGTTTAAAGGTATGCTAACAAATGTCTTCTCTAAGCTGAGATAGTTTAATGATTAAGAATTTCAATTCCAAATCCCTAGATTTCAGACTGGAATCCTTATGCTTTCCTATTTATATGGTCAGTCTAGTAGTATTTCCAGCCTCCACTAAAATCAGTGTCACTCACACCATAGAATATTTATTTGTATATGGGCTGAATAATTAAATAAGTTAGTAATTGCAAATTTCATGTAAATGAATACCACATTCTCATAAAGATGAGTAAAACTCGTTCAACTCTTTATACCGTTAATTACTGATTATTAATTACTGTAAGATATATAAAATTTTTCCGAGAGATTCGTTCTATGAACATCCTAGTTTATCTGTTAAATTTGTGTTGATATTCGCTGAAAATACTCGGGTTTTTGAATGTACTGATATGCATTTCCCACGTAATAGATTATAGAATTCCAGCACCCTGGTTGCATTTGGACGAACAATGAAAATGTGTCTTCAACATTTATTTCGTCTGTTGAAGTGCTCGGCATCAAGTATAGTTTGAGACTCATGTAATTACTCTTAATTTTAAGTTGCTGGAAATTCGTCCTGTGCGCAAGTTGTTATCCTATTTACATATTATTCGTAAAATAAATCCATATATTGTGTTGCACTGTTTTCCTCTTGACGCATATATATTTTGTGCCCCCTTGTTCAAATAATCATGTGTTCAAATAAATAAATAAACTCTTTTTCTTAGGTATTACACTATAAATACTGTAATTAAATGTCATATTGCCAATCAACAAAATGAGAAATTATCTTGTGAACTGTCCGCTATGCTCGAAGCCTATCTAAAAGTTCTTGAAGTAAGAATTTTGATTATTTTCTAATCCATTATGTTTGATTGATTTTTATTTTTGGTATAATTTTAGCATCATAAGCTCTTGTATTCATATTCATTTTTATGTATTAAACAAAATGTGAACTGAATTCCTTCCATTAAGTAAGAAAGAGTAGGTATAATTCATTCAGACACACGTTTATGTACCTGACCATGCTGAAACAGTTCCTAGACTACCTGTCTACATTACAGTGAGGTTTTCTAAAAGCTGAGAAGATTCTTTATTTAGTAATATTCTGCAATGTATTACGGTAATAATATTTTATTCTTAATGGATAGTCGGATCAGCTAAACCGTGATTAGGTGATAAATTATCATTTTATCAAATTCGTCCGTCGTCGTCCAACGTATATATTTATTAATGCTGTAAAAGTGACTGTACGTGAAACTTAACACTTTCCACTTCCCTTCTCAATTAGCTTGTATTTTTATCACATGTTTCTAGGTTATTTACTAAGTATCTTTATCATTATTTTGTTGAATCACGTATTGTTTATAATTAGGTGATACTCTCAGTTATATTTTTCCCATTCCAGTAAAACTAATTTAAGGGATGATGTTGTTTTGGAATGTGATGTTTCAGTCATTTCAATTCCTTTCCAATTGTCGTTCATGAATGTGTTTTAGGTATCATTTTTAGGAGGCAAACACAAATAAAATACCTATTCAAACTCAAGTTAAATATAAATGTACTTGTGTTTCTCTTTCAAAACAAAATTCCACACTAAATAACAAATCTAATGGTAAACTTCTTGTGACACTTTAAAATTGATTGATCACTGTGTAATGGTGGTCAGTGTCATATTTTTCTGATCCTTTAGTGCTAATCGAATTCCATCGATGAAGTTACAATGTGCTCACTATTCTGAGTGACTTGAAATCGCGTGGACTGTGTTGAGATGTTGGGTGGTTGAAAGCAGCATTTGACTCTGTAGACCGAGAGGTTCTGTGGCAGTGTCTGTCATTGAAAGGTGTACCTGAGAAGTACATAAACCTTGTGAAGGCTTTTTACTCGAACACTACCAGTCGAGTGAGAGCTTATGGCGAATTGTCATATGATTTTACAACCTCAAGTGGTGTCCGTCAAGGCTGTCCACTATCCCCATTTTTGTTTAACTTCATTATAGACCTGTTGCTGGAAATAACACTCTCGTCGACTGAATTTACAGGAATTGATCTCCTACCAGGTGAACCACTAAGCGACTTAGAATACGCAGATGACATAGTCCTGTTTGGTGAAGACGCTGGCAAAATGCAAAGTTTTCTGTTGGAACTCAGTAATAATGCCAGGATGTTTGGGATGCGTTTCTCCCCATCCAAATTTAAATTGTTACTCCAGGACTGGCCTGCATCAACACCCGAACTAAGGATAGGGAGTGAAGTAGTCGAACGCGTTGACAACTTCACTTATCTTGGAAGTCTGATCAGCCCTAATGGGTTGGTGTCTGACGAAATCTCTTAAAGGATTCAAAAAGCTCGTTTGGCTTTTGCCAACTTACGTCACCTATGGCGAAGAAGAGATATCCGTCTATCAATTAAAGGACGAGTATACTGCGCATCAGTTCGCTCTGTTCTACTTTACGGCTGTGAAACATGACCATTAAGAGTAGAAGATACTCGTAGGTTACTAGTATTTGACCACAGATGCCTTAGAAATATTGCTCGCATCTGCTGGAATAACCGGGTAAGTAATAGTGAGGTTTAAACGCAGGGTATTAGGGAACGATGGTAAATCAGTTGATAAGGTGGTGAATCTTCATCGACTGAGATGGTTAGGCCATGTGTTACGTATGCCTGAACACCGATTACCACGACGCGCTATGATGACTAGTGTTGGGGATGGTTGGAAGAGAGTTAGGGGCGGCCAAACCAAAACATGGCATCAGTGTTTGAAGTCACTAACTTCTTGTCTGAGCCATGTTGGCAGATGCAGACTACCTGGTTGGGGTCCGCGTGACTATCGTAACCAATGGTTGGAGACTCTGTGTGACATGGCTCAGAATCGATCACAATGGCGTAGGTGTATACACTCTTTATCTTCCCTTAAACCTTGAGATTAAAATTGCTTCATATCTGTCTTTCTTCCTGTACTATATCCTTATGTACAACCTATAATTTATATACTACTACCACCACTAAATTAATTACTTCTATGAATCCGGTGTTCGTCTTGTTGTGCTAACGAGGTATGGCAACTTGGACCGATGCATATATGTGCCTGGTCCTACGTTGTAGCTGACTGACTGATTGAATGGTAAACCCTTGGACCCAGGTTCCGTGGTACTCATCACTCTTCAACAAAGAGCACCTGCAATCTTAAAGGAACCAATGCTGCTTGTGGGGTTAAAATTTGCATCACTTCGCTTGATATTCTTAGAAGTTACTTACCACTGAGCTTTTCGCACCACTGGTAAATATCTTATTTTCACAATAGGTCAGTAGCGGGATCCGAGTCCCATAGGGAATATCTGTTCATGATTGCATACATACCTTTCCGACGAGTCCCAACTATCCCTCAAAGTCCAGAATTCCCAGCTAAATGCATCTAGTCAGTCAGCTAAAATGTAGAACCAGGCACATATATGCATCGGTCCAAGTCAGTCAGTCAGTCACAACGTAGAACTTCGTACGTACGTACATCAGTTCGAGTTGCCATACCACATTAGCACAGAGATGCAGTTGTCGATTCAAATCCCATAGTGGTAGAAGTAGTAGGAGTATAATCAGAAATCCAAAAGATTAGGGTTTGAAGAAATTATTGAAGGAGTATAGTACAGTGAAATAAATTTGGAAAGAGAAAAAGATAAAGACATGAGGAATTCAGAAGACTAAAATTTGGTAGAACACAAAGAGTGTATGGATGGTGGTCCAGTACTAGCAGTGAGATTGACTGAGGTCTTAGGTAGAATCTGGGAACTGGACGTAATTCCATCTGACTGGTCCCAATCACTGATTGTGCCAGTCTATAAGAAAGGACAAAAGTCCTCCTGTGACAATCACAGAGGGATCAGTTTGACTAATATAGTGTCTAAAATATTAGCTTCAATAATACTAGGTCGCCTAACCAAAGCTCGTGAAGAGCAGACTAGAGAAAACCAGTCTGGTTTTCGACCTGGACGTGGTTGCATAGACCAGATATTCACCCTACGTCAGGTTCTAGAACATAGACACAAATTCAGACGTCCCACAATAGTAGTATTTCTTGACCTTAAGGCCGCATTTGACTCCGTTGATCGTGAGGTTCTATGGCAATGTTTGTCACTGAAAGGAGTACCAAAGAAGTACATTAACCTCATAAAGGCTCTCTACTCGAACACAACTGGTCGAGTTAGAGCCTATGGCGAACTGTCATCAGAACTGATTACCACAAGTGGCGTTCGTCAGGGCTGTTCACTCTCCCCATTTTTGTTTAACTTTGTCATTGACATACTTTTAGAGACAGCACTTTCATCAGCTAAGCCTCCAGGAGTTGAACTCTTACCGGGAGGCTCACTTGTTGACTTAGAATACGCCGACGACATAGTTTTACTCGGTGAAGACGCTGACAAAATGCAGAGTCTTCTGACCACCATAAGCAACAATGCAGGCATGTTCGGGATGCGATTCTCTCCCTCGAAGTGCAAAATGTTATTTCAGGATTGGGTTGCAGCGACACCTGAACTAATGATAGGGAGTGAAGTAGTTGAGCGTGTAGACCACTTCACTTATCTTGGGAGTCTCATCAGCCCTTGTGGTCTGGTATATGACGAAATCTCAGCACGGATACAGAAGGCTCGTCTAGCTTTCGCCAACTTGCATCATTTGTGGCGTAGGCGAGATATCCGTCTAGCAACCAAAGGACGGGTTTACTGTGCAGCAGTCCGTTCCGTCCTACTTTATGGCAGTGAAACATGGCCGGTAAGAGTAGAGGATATTCGTAGGCTACTAGTGTTCGATCATAGGTGTCTTCGAAGCATTGCTCGTATATCCTGGGACCACCGGGTAAGTAATGCAGTTGTTAGGATACCAGTACTAGGTAGGGATGGCAAATCGATTGATGAAGTAGTGAAACTTCATCAGTTGAGATGGCTGGGACATGTGTTACGTATGCCCGACCACCGACTGCCACGACGTGCAATGTTTCATGGTGTAGGAGTAGGTTGGAAGAAAGCTAGGGGTGGCCAGACCAAAACGTGGCACAAATCAATGAAGTCACTGACAAGTGGTCTGGGCCATGTTGGTAGGTGTAGACTACCTGGTTGGGATCCGCGAGATGACAGCAACCGATGGTTAGAGGCCTTGAATGACATGGCTCAAAATCGTTTGCAATGGCGAAGGTGCATCCACTCTTTGTGTTCTACCAAATTCTAATCTTCTGAATTTCTCATGTCTTTATCTTTTTCTCTTTCCAAATATATTTCACTGTACTATACTCCTTCAATAATTTCTTCAAACCCTAATCTTTTGGATTTCTGATTATACTCTTACTACTTCTTCCACTATGGGATTTGAATCGACAACTGCATCTGTGTGCTAATGTGCTATGGCAACTCGAACTGATGTACGTACGTACGAAGTTCTACGTTGTGACTGACTGACTGACTGACTGATGCACCTTCGCCATTGCAAACGATTTTGAGCCATGTCATTCAAGGTCTATAACCATCGGTTGCTGTCGTCTCGCGAATCCCAACCAGGTAGTCTACACCTACCAGTATGGCTCAGTCCACTTGTCAGTGACTTCATGGATTTGTGCCACGTTTTGGTCTGGTCGCCCCTAGCTTTCTTCCAACCTACTCCTACACCATGAAACATTGCACGTCGTGGCAGTCGGTGGTCGGGCATACGTAACACATGTCCCAGCCATCTCAACTGATGAAGTTTCACTACTTCATCAATCGACTTGCCATCCTTACCTAGTATCCGTTTCCTAACAACTGTATTACTTACCCGGTGGTCCCAGGATATACGAGCAATGCTTCGAAGACACCTATGATCGAACACTAGTAGCCTACGAATATCCTCTACTCTTATTGGCCATGTTTCACTGCCATAAAGTAGGACGGAGCGAACTGCTGAACAGTAAACCCGTCCTTTGGTTGCTAGACGGATATCTCGCCTACGCCATAAATGGCGCAAGTTGGCGAAAGCTAGACGAGCCTTCTGTATCCGTGCTGAGATTTCGTCACAAACTAGACCACAAGGGCTGATGAGACTCCCAAGATAAGTGAAGTGGTCTACACGCTCAACTACTTCACTCCCTATCATTAGTTCAGGTGTCGATGCAACCCAATCCTGAAGTAACATTTTGCACTTCGAGGGAGAGAATCGCATCCCGAACATGCCTGCATAGTTGCTTATAGTGGTCAGAAGACTGCATTTCGTCAGCGTCTTCACCGAGTAAAACTATGTCGTCGGCGTATTCTAAGTCAACAAGTGAATCTCCCAGTAAAAGTTCAACTCGACCAGTTGTGTTCGAGTAGAGAGGCTTTATGAGGTTAATGTACTTCTTTGGTACTCCTTTCAGTGACAAACACTGCCATAGAACCTCACGATCAACGGAGTCAAATGCCGCCTTAAGGTCAAGAAATACTACTATTGTGGGACGTCTGAATTTGTGTCTATGTTCTAGGACCTGACGTAGAGTGAATATCTGGTCTATGCGACCACGGTCAGGTCGAAAACCAGACTGGTTTTCTCTAGTCTGCTCTTCACGAGCTTTGGTTAGGCGATCTAGTATTATTGAAGCTAATATTTTAGACACTACATTAGTCAAACTGATCCCTCTGTGATTGTCACAGGAGGGCTTTTATCCTTTCTTATAGACTGGCACAATCAGTGATTGGGACCAATCAGATGGAATTACGTCCAGTTCCCAGATTCTACCTAAGACCTCAGTCAATCTCACTGCTAGTACTGGACCACCATCCTTAAAAATCTCAGGGGTCAACCTGTCAGGGCCTGCTGCTCTCCCTGGCTTCAGATTTCCTATAGCTTTTTCAACCTCACAGAGGGTTGGAGGACTTACATCAATTTGCCATTCAGGACGATTGGGGATCGTGGGTAATTGAAGTGTGGCTGAAGGCCAGTTGAACTGATCCCTAAAGTGTTCTGCCCATCGATCCAATCTCCTGGATTGAGAATGAATATTATGCCCATCTTTATCTGAGATGGTTTCACTGATATTCGGTTTCCTAATACCGGTTTCTTTAACGAGTCTGAATAGCTGCCTACTGTTACCTATTGCCGCTGCCTTTTCCATCTCTCTTGCTTTCGCTACCCACCACTGTTCACGATCATTACGTAGGCTTCTTATAAGCCTTCGCTTAAGTTGACTCCGCTCTTCGTTATGCTCAGAGCCAGGTGGGATGAGTTTACGAGCATCTATCAGTGCGGTAGATGCTGCCGAGATCCAGTGTTTCTCCCTAACCTTATGGTTTACTTTACTAGCGGATATCACTGCCGTTTCCACAGATTTTCGGATGTCATTCCACGCTGCCTCGTGGTGGGCACAACTTTTATGTCTGTCCAACTGTTTTTCCAGTTGTTCCTGAAATATATTCTTAGCTTGCTTGTCATTAAGTAGAACCCTTAGAGGCTTCCCTGCAGTGTCTTTCCTACGACCAGTAAGACGCAGACAGATACGTGCTCGCACTAGAACATGATCTGAATCTAAACATGTGCCCCAGAATGAGCGACAGTCTTCTATCGAGCCCCTCCATCGGTGGCTGATAGCGATATGGTCTAATCGGGTCCAACGTTGGGTCGAATTCGCGGGTCGCCATGTCAAAAGATGTTTTTCCTTATGCTTAAAGTTAGTATTTGCAAGAAATAGGCGGTTATCTGAGCATAGCTGCAACAGACGGTCGCCATTATCTTTTCTTTTCGCCATAACACCATAAGATCCACCCAGGTGTCTTTCCCTTTCACTTAGTTTACCTACTTGAGCATTAAAGTCACCTGCTACTATTACTACATCAGAACGCCTAGCTTCTCGGAGAAGGTCAGAAAGTTTCCTGTAGAACTCATCTTTTATATCGTCTGAGCTGCAGTCAGTGGGAGAGTAGGCAGAGACGACGAAGAGGCAACGACGAGTTTCCCTATCTTTCCGGGTCCTTACTGATCCGTTTAGTCGGACAGCGCATAGACGACTGTCTACTGGGATCCAGTCTAAAAGAGCTAATTCTGCCCTAGGACTTAATGCTATACTTACTCCAGCGAGGCCACGGGAAGCAGCATCAGGGCTTCCAGATACACGAAGCGTGTATCGAGATGGTTGTTTATTTTGATTAGGTGAAGTCAAATGAATGACACTACTCGGAACTTGTATGCGCGTTTCGGAGACGCAGCACACATCGATGGTGTAAGATTCTAGAGTCCTAGCTAAGGAAGCCTGTTGTCCTATTTGGCACAATGTTCGGACATTAAAAGTTCCTACATGTAGTTTAGAGCGTGGTTTCAGGAGACCAGGAATAACGTTCTGTGTACTCGAATCGTTTGCCCTAGCGGTGTGAAGTGATAAAAGGACGTGAGAAGGGTTAGTCGAGGAGATAACAGAGTTATTAGGTGTAGGAAGTATTTTAATGTGACCAATTTGGTCTCGTGTGCAGTTAAGGGTATGAGGGCTAGTATCACTTCCCGGCTGCCCACACCGTGGAAGGGTATTTCTTGAGGGACCTGAAAAAGAAGTTGAATTAGTGTTGGTCTTAACAACCTGGTAGCGTGACCGCAGTGCCCAAGGGACAACTGCTTGAGGCCGGTCACGCACGGCCTTTTTGTGGGGGATTTTTGACGTGTTAGCTCCGTTCTTGAAAGGACCTTACCGCCGGAGACGGAAATCCGTGGGATAAGATATGCATTTTTCTGGTCGACCTTTTCTAACTCCACCCCTCCTTATAGGAAGGCAGCATCGCTGTCATGCTGGTTTTCTGAAGGAAACACTTTACTGCTTTCACACATCTGTACAGTCAGCAGTACGACTTCGCCCTCGGACCTTGGGATTGCTGCTTTTAGTCTCACCGCTCTTCAACCGACCTGTCTGGCATGGTAGGACCTTGAGGAATGATTGTTCCAGCCAGCATAACTCGATTGGATCATCATGATAAGCAAGCCCGACCACCACGTCAAGGTAGCAGCAACGGTCGGGTATCGGTCCAAGTTGCCATACCTCATTAGCATAAAAAGAGAAACACTAAATTCACAGAAGTAGTTAATTTAGTGGTGGTAATATATAAAAGGAAGGTTGTATATAAGGATATAGTACAGGAAGAAAAAAACATATGATGAATGCATCCAACCACCTTACATATGAAGATCTTCCTCATGTATAAATACTTGTTCGTTAAATTGATAAACGAAATATTATTATTGAGGAAGTATGGGATGTGGATAAGAAGCGGTCAAAAATAAAATGACTTCAAAGTGTGAGCCACATGAGTTTTAAAACGCCGTCCGATCCAAAATTTACTCTGTTACAATACAACCACTTCGGAAAAATAACTTTGATGTTTTTTCGTCTTTAATGCGTATTGAATTGCATCGATCGAGTTTCAGTTTGATCTTTATTTTAAGTGGTTTAGTGTTGCGTCACTATTTGTTTGGTGTTTCGGGTTACAGTCGACACTCAGCTTATTTTTTTGTATCAGTAATTAACATTTTTTAGTTTGTACTCACCTTCGTTGAGTCGGCTTAGCCGTGGCATTTTGTTACTTGGTTGATGGATTGTTTGTCTGTAATATTTTCTAAACTATCCTCTCTACATATTGTAGTTCGTGTTAATTTTGTTTACATTATAATTTTGTCCTTCATAGTGTGATTCCACTCGTATACTAATGGATGAAAGATCAGAAATTTTGGATTTCATTCTGCATCCAAGTGACAGTGGTCAAAAGGAAAGGCTTTCTAATAAACAGTATATTGAAGACATACCAACGGGTATATCACATAGTCTAGGCTCTCTTACAAAGCCTGTAGAAGACGATTCTGAACCAAACACTGTAGAAAACGAAAAAATGTCCACATCTGACAAGCAAACACTAACTACGGATGAAAAAATCTCTTGTACGACAACAATTCAGTCACGTGCTCGAACTCACTCAAATAGCATTTCAAGTGTTCATAATGGCTCCAGTGAAACTACTGAACAAAGATATGATGTTTCACAAAATGAAACCAAATGTCATAATTGGTTCAAACTAATCTCTAGTCTAAACAATGGTTAAGTTTATTTGATATAATAAAGCTGATTATTGTGTAAACAGTTTAAATACTTTGCTTCATCATTTTTAGTGAATGTGCAGTAGTTTCGAATACTTAATTACTGATGGTTTTTATGGTTTTATCAAACTGGTCATTTATGCACTTCTATTTTGCTTATTTATTAGTTCCTACCTCTTACTTCAGTGAAGTATGTGATTACCGATTGAACAAACAATATCCTGTATTCATAGACAGTCATTTAAATATTATTGGTGCACTGTCTGAGGTGTTTTTGTTTATTTAAAACATACAAGTCAACAACCTTTGGAATGTATGAATCTCCCTGACCTACAGTTAATAGTATCCAAATGATGTAGTAGTACCAATTCGTGGTCATAAATTTCATTTTACCTTTTATCTCTTTCACTTATGTGACAACTGAAATTATTAGGCTTGTGTTTATCTAGAATTTCATACAATTAAAATGTTACTCACTCAATTTATAACTACAAGGGTTGGTTTTCGCTCCTTAATTTAGTTTTATAAATGTGTTCTCATTTTCAGTTGAACAGGCTTTAATTGTACAAAGATTAATTAATGAATTAAAACGTTGGATGTATCGATTTGTTTCAGATTGGAATTTCAGGTTTGTTCTTTGCATTGAATACGTATATGTTTTTTTTACTATTTCCGGACCATAGTACAATGCGATCGTAATAAACTTTTTACAGTCCTGATTATGTTTTTTCCCAAAAAGTGATTATGATTTTAGGAATTATTCCCATCACAAACTAACATCAGTTGGATAACCAATAATTATCGGGACGAACCATCGAACATTTTCTTCGTCGTAGTTTGGAGACTCCCCACTAATGTATGTCTATCACACCACAGATAGTTGTCTAGGCTCCTGATTAATAAGCTATTATTTATTCATTGAATGGAAACCCTTCACTCTAGGTCTGTGAATTTGCTACTCATTTCTTTGATAACAATTAGTTACTAGGTTCGAATTCTCCCCTCATTTCCGTTTAGTCTACTGAGTATCATATACAGCTTTCAAGTAACATGTTACTCAAAGAATACTTTAAGAATTTTTATTTAGTTATTGTACTTATCTTCAAATTTTCCAATAGGTTAGAGATGAATTATTATGATAATTTCAATTCTTCACTATGAATAATGGCCGTAGTCGTATGTTATCTTAAATCTATTTTTTTCACTTTTATTTTCTGTTATGGGATATTTAGATTTAATGAATATGAATTATTAATGAAACGACTTGAAAAAAATATACGCGACAAACGGAAAAAGCCGACATTATCCCATATTTCTACAACGGTTGCTAATTCATCTCTTCACCCATCACTGAATCTTCTTTCTCCTTCAGTTCCTTCTCAAGTAACGTTTACAACGTCTGTATCACCACCACCACCAACAACAACAACAACACCATTGCCCGTTAGTAGTATCATAACTAGTTCAAAGAGTGCAAACAATCTTCTAGATTCTACAAAATCATCTGAGCACAATAATGATATGATTACAAATCTGTCTTCTTCCAATATACCCATTGAAGTATCAACATCTCAAACTATTTACTTTAATTCTGTAGATCAAAATATGAACAAATTTTCAACTGTAATCGATTTAAGTAACAACATTTCAGTTAATTCAAAAACATCATTAAATAATGTATTAACAGTCAGTCAACCAGAACTACTAGTCCAGTCTATAAAAAGAGACCGTGAAATGCACAATTCTATTGAAAACACTTCAAGTCTTGATTCTTTTAAGTCTGGTTTCAATTCATTTCATGATAGTATTAACCATGATTCAAGCCAACATACAGAAGATAATTATGTATCTGATTTGTCTAAGAATTTACCTATCTTGGATCCTTTAAATTTAAAAGGTACTTCTCTGTTTTGTGTTTAATTCTTGATCTGGTGAAAATATATCATATTGACGGCCTTGAACGTTTTTGAGACTGATTTCAAGATTCCTGTCTATTTTTTAGCCAAACAGAATGCACGTTATACTGATGGTTAAGTTGTTGCAGAAAATCAAAAGGGTTAAGTTTTAGTGTTAGGGTTATCGTAAGAAATTCAGAAGTCTTGCAACGTCACACACTTCTCAACTGAACTTTATTTTTTCCATGAAGAGCTATACATTTTGTGAATATTTTAATAATTATTCAAGTCTGTTCGTATGGTTTATTCTTGCCGTGTTTATGCTATTTAGACCTTTTGATAGATAAAAACTTGGGTATGGAATAATTTACAAGATGTCTATCAACAAGCCACTGTTTTGATTGTGTAATTAATTTTACCATTGTTTTTGTCTTATGTACTGTATAATTAAGCGTTGACTTATAAATACATTATAACATGCTATTCATCTATAGATAGATGATGAGAAACTGTTGTTTAAATAATACCATCGGACAGTAATATTCACTGGATAAGTAATTATTTTTCCGTTCGAATTTTAGTCGTTTTCTCATTGCCATGTAACATACATACTTTTATCGTACTCTTGGATGAGAATTGTTTTGCTTACAAGGTATTCTTTTGTCTACTGTCGTCAAATTAAATCTTAATTCAACGGCTTTATTTTATTATGTTTAATAGTTTACTTGACTGAAAACAAAGTCCTGTGACCTTTAATGAAAATAATTCTGTACACCTTATTAATTGTTTGCCATCAGTGCAGTCTGCTTTTAATTGATAATTTTGTATTTAAATTAGCTGGGCTTGCAAATCATCCCTGAAATGGATTTCCGGTAATATCATAAAAAATAATCTTTCTGTGCTAATAATGTTATGTTTCATAATAGTCTTAACCTACATGCATATTTCAGCTGTTTACCAACGACGCGGTCCGGAAATCTTCAATACTGAATCTTCTCAAAATCAGTCTAACAAAACAGAATCTTCAGCTCATCCTATCCAAAATGAGATCTCTATAGCAAATAATTCTTCCTCTTCTGGTGTGCGTCGCTTTATTCATAACTTTTTACCATCAGCTATGGATTTAAAAGTATTTGGCGAACCGGTCCCACCTTACGAACATCCTCAACTGACCATATGTGACGAAAGTTGCATTAACATTTTAAAACGTATTGAAACTACTGTGAATAAATCAAATCAAATGAAATTGAATAGTTGTGATTATAGCCGACTGTCTGAGTCTATCTGTCAATTATTGCTTGCACATCCAGATGTTTATGTTAATGATCGAGAATTTACTTCAATTATAGCTTTTGCTTTGACGTAAGTTTTGAATATAACAATATAATTTACAATAACTCATATAAACTAGTATTCGTATCTGGAAATTATCCACATTTGTACTCGAGTTTACACAAGGAGAACAAAGACTGTAGTCATAAAGTTGTGTTTACATAATCCAAAATCTAAATAACTAGATATGCATCTACACAGAAACAAACATATGTATATATATCACTAGTACGTAGTTGAACTTAAGCATGCAACTCTATCCTGATGTGAAGGATTCTATAAGTATCGAGGAATTCGTGGAGATTTTTGGACCGATCTTAATTAAACCACCATTGAGACCCGTATTCATCTAATATAAATTAACTACTTAACAAATATTATCTATCATCAAGGAAAAATGAGTAAATTTATTTTATTAACTGCTTTTTTTTCAAATGTCTTTTTTTATTTTGATATATTATTAGTACAAGAGAATACGAAAGAAAATTAGTAGATTTACATTTTACCTTTCAAGGCTCATTGCAGCACAGCTCAGATATTCAGCTTGGTCAACCTGCTCTTGCTAAGTATGTTTAAAGGTCTATTTTTCAAAAAGATTTTTGTTGAAGCTTCAAAATGACTTTCATACTAACTCGAAATTTTTAATGACAATTCCAGTTCTAGAAATAGTAATAAATTATATATAAGTTTACGAAACCCGATGCATCAAGGGTAAATTTATGTATCCCAATTTAAAACAATATTGTTTATGTATGACGAATAGTGTTACTATCCAATACTATAACTGAATTAGATTATCAATGTTTTGATCCAAGTGCTTTTATCTCTAAGCAACACTCCTTAATACGATTGATTGAACTTTGAGTTATAACACTTGAAATAATATTAGTGTTATATTTCATATATCATCCACATCTACTTTTTATTGAAACTGACAAAAAATTCAGGATATTTTTGCACTTATAATCGTTGGAGGCAGTCTATAGAAACATTCGAGATCCTTTGAACAATATTGGATTTCTTAGCTTAATGTGTACTTTTTAAATATAATTCATTAACACAAAGGGGGTTTTTGTGGAGATTTAGTAATTTTATAGTTAAGATCATGAGTCAATTGAGGCTAGACCACCATCGACAACCTGGAAGCACTGGACGGCCGTTTCGTCCTCTTATGGGACTCCTCAGCAGTGCTCATCCACGAACCCGCTCTCGCGAGCGAGATTCGAACCCAGGACCTACCAGTCTGGAGCCGGAGCCCTTAACCGATAGACCACTGAGCTGGCATCCAACGGTGTTTATGTCTAACCTCAACCAATCCACGAAATTGCGCAACCAACTTCCAATGTACTGAGGTAGATACCTGTCTCTACCTGACATGGATTAGCTCCACTGGCCACGACTTCTCACTAGAACTCCAGGAATTACCTCAAGGAGCCAGTCACTAGTGAGCCTATGATCAACCTCAGTACATTGGAAGTTGGTTGCGCAATTTCCTGGATTGGTTGAGGTTAGACATAAACACCGTTGGATGCCAGCTCAGTGGTCTATCGGTTAAGAGCTCCGGCTCCAGACTGGTAGGTCCTGGGTTCGAATCCCGCTCGCGAGAGCGGGTTCGTGGATGAGCACTGCTGAGGAGTCCCATAAGAGGACGAAACGGCCGTCCAGTGCTTCCAGGTTGTCGATGGTGGTCTAGCCTCAATTGACTCATGATCTTAACTATATAATTCATTAAATTCGATCAGGACTAAAAATTACAGAAATTCATATTGGTTGTCATTTGACGTCAGATCAGCATATTTATGTTACGTTAATGAACTGTTAAACAAATCATGGTCCCGTACTATAAATGACAGACAAATTCTGCATCCTTTGTAAAATTCGCAACTTCATCTTTGGTTTTAGAACATGTTCCGTTTAATTTTAGATCAAAAACGACTGATACTACCTTATATGAACATAATTATTTTAACCCGAGAGAATAAAAAAATGAATGGCACTGTAAATGTTAAAACGTCAGTCGATAAACAATAAAGTCATGAACGACGAACACATAACCATGCAGGAAAACAATATTTTCTTTGGTCACACCGACTTTTGCCTTTTATAACCTATTGGGGGGGGGGTCGATATCTGAAAGTTAATTGTGAGAACTAGTTCAGTTGTATGGGTCTTTTTTGAAAATTTATTAAATCTGCGTTCTTTTATTTGTATAATTACAGCAGCAAGTTTTTCTTGTTGTTTCTTTTTTTCCAGTTTTAAGGATAATGAGTCAGTTGTTATAACTGAGAACATGTCTAGTGCGAAATGTATTGATGAAAAAGAAAAAAGAAACATTCTGGATGATGAAACTTCTCTACCGAATCCAACTGATGATGGTTCTTCTAAAAAGTCAGAAACATCACAAGGTAAATCAACTGTGCCAGTATTTAAATTCTTATGTCCCCTTTTGAAAAGATTAACGTTTTCAGATGTTAATCAACTTAACGTTTTTGCCAGTGACATTTCTACTTTTATTACAGACTACTTGTTATCTTGTAAGGTTAAACTCAAGGATAAAGATGTTTGTGTACTTATATTGATCGAATACCGATTACAAGTTGACACTCAAAGAAAATCAATTAGTATATGCGTTTAGAACGATTTTACAGCAAAGAGAAATAATTCATCTAAATGACTTTCTTGAACAAAAGCTTATGTAATCAGTTTAAAATGAAATTTGAAAAATTTCGATTAATTTTTTGAAACTTCAGACGAACAATTTTCCAAATGTACATTCTTTTAAATAATTTATATCATAAAGTATGGAAATTCGATGGATTCTTTACAATCCTTCACCAAGTCTGATTCAATAAAACTCATCATCTATTGAGCGATAAGCATTATTTGATGTAAGTTAAACATGTAACCAATATGTACTATTATTAAGATGATAAAGTTGTAAATAACATTAGCATAGGTATAAAAGGAATAGAGGTTATACCTATTTCTTTCGAATACTTTACGTTATTTTACTTCATTCGGTAGATAAGATTACTATAAATCATTTTTTTTATATGATTTATCTTTTAATGAAGAAGAAAGTAACAGAATATCATCTTCATCAAGTGTAAGTACATTGCGTGATCAAAAACCGCCTACACATACTCATAATATATCTGCCAGTTCTCACACCACCTCATTATCAACACCTACAACTGACAAATCCAATGGGTCTCGAAGTCGCCATATTAAAATACGTAAGTTGTTTTTATAAAGTTTGGAAATAATGAAAATAAATTGTTAAATATTAAAAACACAGAAATACGAATGAAGTGTGTTCTTTTTGTTACATTTAGACCTTGGATTTTCTTGTTATACCGCGTACAACTTGAGCCGTTTCCACACTTTCTAATTACCCCCCTGGTTTTATAGTCGTACCTGGGTATTGATTATTCGAAAGAATCACCACGTTTATGTTGAATACATTTAAAATTATGATAGTTTTAAAATCGTAATTAAAATAATAGATTATTGATTATTATTATTGACCAAGAAATCCATTATTCCATTGAAGAGAAGAATTAGGAACAACGCAGCAAAAAACATTTTCTTCTCAACCACACAATTTAATAAATCTGTACAGTCATGTAGTGATTTCACAAATACATTAGTGTATAGGTGAAAAGGAAAAAATTACACCATAAAGTGTTCAGAGATTGCGAGTATCACGAGAAGGTTGCATAATGACCAAGAGTTTAGAAAAGAATGGGAGGATATAAATAATTTACGGATCATAAATGTTAGAGATAATTGTTCTCTTCAACAAATATGAAGAAATGAAAAGCGTGGGACTACTTATAACAGCTGAATAATAATTCTGAAAAATCGGAATAGGTTAATAATAGCTGATTAAAAGGTAGACTAGGAAGGGAGTTTGAGCTATTAAAAGATGAGATATTGCACAGCACCAAGTGCAGATGTATTGAAACTGATTAATTTAATAATTCAAACATCAATAAATGCCCTGGTACCGTCGAATATGAAGAGATTCGGCACTCACTCTCGAAATGCTCACATAGCCTCGTGTATACGGCTACTGACAGGAAAGTGTTGTTTACGTAATTGAGAGGACGAACAGCAAATGTCAGGCGTTTTAACCGGATTGATGGGTACGGAGAACCCACCTAAGTGAGTTAGAAAATTGTGATTCTAAACCAATCGCGCACATGTGCTCCAGGATTCTGAGTAAGAAAATGGCGTATGAACCTACTGTTAGTTGCCTTCTACCATGGTACTACATCTCCTAACGTTGCTCCACTGCCTTATGGATTAGACCTCTATGTCAAAGGCTCGAGTAGTGCTTCTGAGAAAACCATCTGTATCAGTTAGGGCACTTGTGCATTATCATATCTCACACACAAACTACAGGTCAGGGCTCTAGGCACAGAGGAGAGTCGTTTGGGTGGCTAATGGAGTCTTGTTGGTCGCAGGTCAGATAACAATGACCGTCCACTGCAACTCTGCTCAAACTACAATCTGTTCCTGACCGGCACTGACTACCGGTATCTTGGGTCCTCTCTCTGCATCTCATACCTGGACCCAGATTGGTCGCATCGTGATCAGCCACCGGTGGTGTGGTTGTGTACAAGACTGTCTCTCCTTTCGGGATACTTATGTGGACTCTGACCATGCCCTTGTTTGCTTTAATCTTATATTACGTTTCAGCGAACAACAAACTCATCATCCTAAACGAGTCGATGAAGACAATGATATGTCTTTCAGGTAAAATCTTATAGATTAGGTAGTCACATCATGACTAACTTCTAAGACTTGACTACCATTCTTAAAAATCTGAGGATGGTGGTCCAGTTTTATCTATTCAAGGAGTATTATACTTATATCTCTTTGTAGGTGGTTGCATTTTTTATTGTTATTATTATTGTCTAGTGAATTTAGCTATTTACTCTTAGCATACATAAGAAATAAAATATGGTTCCAGATCTCAAATTCTAATTCTTTATTCTGCTGTTTATTATTCTCCATAGAGTTTTCGGATAGTTCAACTACTTTCTTCTGTTGTGTGTACTATGCCTCTGAATTTTTCCGTTTACGTCAACTTATAATGCCTAATGGAGATCTATCGTAAGAGATATCATGTTTATTTACTGTCGCTTTATATTTCATTAATATTATTATTATTTATTTTGGTTCATATTTTTTAATTATTCAGTTAAAAGTATGAAAATATGATTATTCAATGTAAATAATATGAAGTACATATGTGTTTAGTTTGCAATTATTTCAAACATACTAATTCCTAGCGTTTCTTTTATTCTCATATTCTTTATGTGCAAGTGGTCATCACATTTATAGATGGATTCTGTAAAAATCGAGTAAACACTGGGTTATCATAGTCTGACAAATAATTTATCCTTTCATTTAATCTTGTCAAATATTAATATTGTTTAAGCTTTAGTTAGTAGAAAAGAAAACAGCTAGTTACTAATCATTACAGTTATTAGTTTTTTACTGAATAAAACATCTTGTTTTTTGATATCGAGTCAGGTAGACAAGTGCGCAGATTCCAATTTGATGAATAAAATCCTATCAATACTAAAGTATTAAATGCATTACACTGGTTGATCAGCAGTGAATATCTCAGTCCGACAGTGGATAAGACGCTGTCTAAATAGCTCGGTAATAGTATCTTGGACTGTGAAGACGACTGGTGCAGTTTCAAGTCCCAGAGTGAATATCAGTCCTGTTAAGATTACAAGTACGTTTTGCTGACAAGTGCCAAATATTATGAAACTTGGTTCCGTGATTTCCTGCAGACTATCTTCAACAATCTAGCAAATGTTGTATTAGATGCCTAACGCTTTAGAAAAAATGTTTTTACTAGTGTTTTATATCCATTTTAGGTCGTTTTCGATTGCTATCTATAGGTTTAATACACATAAATATTATCCTGTTAATGATTTATTTTTATTATCTCAGATGAATCCGTTGTCATACACTGGTTAATTTCTTTATATTTCACACCACTGACAATAGGAAACAAGTAAAAATTAAGTGTTTTGAAAAGTAATGAAAATCATGAGTACCTCTGTTGTGATTCGAACCAAATGGTTAGACAAATCTTTTTGAAAAAATCGTTTTTCTAATTAATATGATATAATATTCACTTCGTTTTTATAGCGCTTATCCAAAGACGGAATTTAAATACATCACCTTTTTGACTAAGCGAATAGATTATATCGAACATCGTTTCTCAAGTTTGAGAATAATTAATCTCGCGTGTTACGTCGCATTACTGAAAATTAACTAGTCGGAGAAATATATTTATATAAACAGTACATTCAAATAATGGATTTCTTTCAGTCAACTGTTAGTTATCATGTTTTCCATCCAAAGTCTTATTTATATCACAATCGTATATCTTTGGAAATTTTTATACCGGTTGATAAATAAATTGTAAGTGGAACTTCTTTTTTTTTAATAGTTTCATACAATCTTTATCACGATGCTATCAATGGGATGCACGTGGTGGTAAATCAGGCTCCTTATTCATGAAAACTCGAGGTATGTTTTGACACATTAGTTAAGTAGTTTTCATTTTATATTTTTATTTACAAAAGAATTCATAATTTCAATAATACTATAGACAGTGATGTGAATTTCTTTTTCATTACGTTGGTACGCTTTTTTGTCCATTTTCGATGTTACTTACTACTTACTTACGCCTGTTACTCCCAATGGAGCATAGGCCGCCGACCAGCTTTCTCCAACCCACTCTGTCCTCACCCTTCCTTTTCTAGTTCTATCCAGTTCTTGTTCATTCTTCTCATGTCTGTCTCTATTTCTCGGCGTAATGTGTTCTTTGGTCTTCCTCTTCTCCGTTGACCTTCAGGATTCCATGTGAGGGCTTGTCTTGTGACGCAATCGGGTGATTTCCTCAAGGTGTGCCCAATCCACTTCCAGCGCTTCTTCCTGATTTCTTCCTCCGCTAAAATCTGATTTGTTCTCTCCCACAGTAACTTATTGCTGATAGTGTCTGGCCATCGGATCCGAAGTATTTTGCGTAGACAGCTGTTGATGAACACTTGTATCTTCTGGATAATGGCTTTCGTAGTTCTCCACGTCTCCGCCCCATACAGTAGAACTGTCTTGACATTTGTATTGAAAATTCTAACCTTGGTGTTGGTTGACAATTGTTTTGAACTCCAGATGCTTTTCAGTTGTAGGTATGCTGCTCTTGCTTTGCCTATCCGCGCCCTCACATCTGCATCTGATCCACCGTGTTCATCAATGATGCTGCCCAGATATGTAAAGATTTCCACATCCTCCAAAGCTTCTCCGTCAAGTGTAATTGGATTGGTGCATGTTGTATTGTATCGGAGAGTCTTGCTTTTCTCTTTGTTTATATTGAGACCTACTGCTGCTGAGGCTGCTGCTACACTGGTCGTTTTCTCCTGCATTTGTTGTTGCGTTTGTGATAGAAGAGCCAGATCATCCGCGAAGTCTAAATCGTCAAGCAACATCCTGCCTGTCCACTGTATCCCGTGCTTTCCTCCAGTCGTTGACGTCTTCATGATCCAGTCGATCACCAGGAGAAAGAGAAACGGTGAGAGTAAGCAACCTTGCCTGATACCGGTCTTTACTTCAAACGAGTCGGTGAGTTGTCCTCCGTGGACGATTTGGCAGTTTAGTCCATCATAGCAGTTCCGTATTATATTGACTATCTTCTCAGGCACGCCGTAGTGTCGAAGAAGCTTCCATAGTGTCGTCCTGTCCACGCTGTCAAATGCCTTCTCGTAGTCGATGAAGTTGATGTAGAGTGATGAATTCCATTCGATTGATTGTTCCACAATGATCCGCAGAGTTGCGATTTGATCTGTGCACGATCTATCCTTACGAAATCCAGCTTGTTGATCTCGAAGTTGGGCGTCCAATGAATCCTTCATCCTGTTTAACAATACTCTGTTGAAGATTTTTCCTGGTATTGAGAGGAGAGTGATGCCCCTGTAGTTGTCGCACTTGCTCAGATCGCCTTTCTTTGGTATTTTGATCAGAAGTCTTTTTTTCCAGTCTTTTGGTACTTGTTCTTCGACCCAAATCTTACTGAAGAGAGTGTGGAGTATCTTGGCAGTTGCTGCTACGTTTGCTTTCAGTGCCTCTGCCGGGATGTTGTCTGGTCCCGCTGCCTTGCCGCTCTTGATTTGTTTAATGGCCATGCTGATCTCTTCAATTGTTGGTGGGCCAACATCGATTGGGAGGTCTGTGGGTGCTGCTTCGATGTTGGGTGGGTTCAGTGGAGCTGGACGTTTCAAGAGTTCTTTGAAGTGTTCTACCCACCTGTTTCGTTGTTCTTCAATGTCGGTGATTACTTGAATATGGTGCCACCTATGACCAGTTTACTGAAGGCACATAGGTTTGCAAATCTCTCACCATTTTCGTTCCTTTCTCCCAGTCCATGTTGTCCCATGACGTCTTCGTATCCAGTGTTGTCCATTCCAACCTTAGCATTGAGATCTCCCATCAGAATTGTCAGGTCCTTGGTTGGGCACTTCTCGACGATCGACTGCAGCCTATCGTAGAATTGGTCTTTAGCGTCTTCATCGTAGTCGTTGGTCGGCGCATAGCATTGGATGACGTTCATTGTAATGCCCTCTCTCTTTGTTTTGAAGGAGGCTTTGATGATCCTTGGTCCATGAGATTCCCATCCAATAAGTGCATTTTGTGCTTTTCTGGACAGCATCAATGCAACTCCTTGTGTATGTGGGGCATTTTCTTCTTCATGACCGGAGTATAACAGAAGTTCTCCTGAAGACAGTCGTTGTTGTCCAACCTGCGTCCAATGTGTTTCGCTGATTCCAAGCACCTCCACGTTGTATTTTCTCATTTCTGCAGCAATTTGGAAGACTCTTCCGGTCTCCCACATTGTTCGGACATTCCATGTACCTATAAAAATTGTTGCTCTGGTTGTAAGAAGGTGCATCGGCCTCATGACTTCCGAATGAACTCGGCTTTCATCATGAGACGTCATAATTATTCGTTCTACTCCCAGGGCAGAGTTTGAATGGTTTGAATGATTTTTTCTGGTTAGCGTTTTTTTAGCGAGTTGATTTTCTACGGGATGGGGTCGCTAACCCCATGCCCAACCCTCCTCCTTTTAGTGGGCTTGGGACCGGCAGTAACCCCCAGAGGAGCTACAGGCGGAGTTCCATTTTCAATGTATGTAGCTTAAATATGATTGTTAAATCTAACGAAGTGTCCAACCAAACGACTGAGGTACGTGTAAAATGAAGGTTTAAAACCGTGGGTTACATGTACATTAATTACAAACCTCAACTCGTGAAGTATTTGTGGCGATTAACGCGTTCTTGTGTAAAAAGGAAAAGGCTTTCTTTAATTATTACATAAAGATCACTTAAAATGTCTAATAGCTTAAATTACAACTGGTAGCTATGTTTAAAACTAATATTGACGACCAACATTCGGACGAAGCCTAGATATCTCAAAATTATGGAAACCTTGACAAGAAATGAGATAATGTAGTTACTGTAATACATACAGTGAATGTTATTATTTGATGTAAATACTTGAAAATATGACACGACAATAAACGTGCATTATGCAATACCTTTAGAAATTATTTGAAATGTAATTTATACAATATTCTCCTTGTATGAATTCTCAAATGTTGATTTGTCCATCCACTTCTTTCTTTGATGTCCCACTCTCTTTACCATGCCTTTGAATTCAGAAAAGATTATGCTTGACCATGTATAGATATATTGTCAGTTCATGATGTTATCGTATGTCAGTATAAGATATGCAAAGGGGTGTATACTGGGCTCCAAGAGATAGTAAAAGCCAATAACTGGGAACTCTGTTCGATGTTTTATTTGTAAGGACAGTGATCCAAGTGCATTTAATCTTTATACGTCTTTTAATAATAACTGACAGTCTTTAAGTTCGTTAGACAAATAATTTCACCAAGTTACCATGTTTACTTTTGTACCAAGATACTATTATACATGTGTCTGACAATTTACGAGTATATTTTTTACGTTAGTCATATATATGGCAATATAATTGAACGTTTTTTAAATTATTTGGTACTCCACAGATGAACGTTTTGTTATTAAAGAACTGTCTTCAATTGAAATGAAAACATTTCATGAAATCTCTCAGGATTATTTTGACTACCTGATTACTGCAGCACTTGAACAAGTAAAATTCTGCATGTTTCATAGAATATATTTTATTAAATCTTATTCAATCACTTAATGTTTTGACTGTTTCATTTTCCACTAACTAATACGTCAAATATAGTGTATATATATATACATAATATGATGTATTCGTGAAATACATATCTTAGTTTCGACCTACTTAGTTATATTTGTAGATTATTTACTTAAAACGTTTGAAAATTATAAGGAACAGCAGTTATAATTTACCGTTCTTGCCATTTTAAATGACGCTACTGGGCTACAAATAAATCAAAACTTAGGGAGATGAGTCCCGAAATAGGACAAAACTGGCATCCTAGACTCTTCTGTTAGCGATCATCCATCTCTGCTTAAAACGTTTATCACATACAGTTCCATTCAGCCGGTTTATAGCTACACCTTATGTTCGTGGAGGAAGGCATGGTTACTGATACTATGCAGCGCTTAGGCTGTAATGGACAGGGTGGAAATCATACATTTCATCCGGTGTTCGAACTTAAAATTGTTCCTGGTTACAGTTTCTATTATCGTATTCTATTTTTTCATCATGAGGCTTTTGATATAATGATGAAGATAAATTATTTTCTGTTCTTCCACTTTATACTACCATCTTTCATACAACGATGCGACCGGTGACCGAAATTCTATTACCGTTAGACTAGATAGTCGATCGATATGTTATACACAGATCTAATTACCTTATACTAGACTCACGATTCTCGACCAAATATATCAAACAGGAGTATATGCTAGACAATACTCTTTTCAACACAATTACCAGCAGTCTGCGCTCAGCGAGTTCAAAATAAAAAAATCAATAACAAGAAGGAAATAATATGCACAATACATAATAAACTGAATGTTTGTCAGTCCACACTTAGTGACCAATCACATTTCCTTTCAATAACCACACATCAATTTTCTAAAATTTGACTTTTTTTTACTGAAGAGCGTTCGCGCGCCAGACCGAAAGTCCTGGGTTTGAGTTTCGCGTGTGGAATCGTGGGTGCGCACTGCCAATGAGTTCCATACTAGGAGGAAACGGTCGTCCAGTGCTTCCAGGTTTCCAATGGAGGTCTTACATTGATCGGTTCTTGATCTCAATTAAAACTCAACAATCTTCACAACCCCATGCTGGTTACTGATCAGCATTCATTCATACACTCATTTCATTCCCATTAACATAAATGTTCATTTGTGGTGATTTTTTTACTTTAATAAATTGACTTTGTTTCACCAATTCTTTACTTTATAACATATTTCATTACGATATATGTGACAATTATGTTGAAACTATTTATTCAATTAATTGCACTTGTTTTACAAAAACCTTTTACAGCGTCTTTGTGTTCTGTCAAGAATACTAGGCATTTTTCATGTTGGATTTAAAAATTCTACATCAGGTGAAGCCCATCGATTCGATGTACTTGTAATGGAAAATTTATATTATGGACATACTCAACTGGCATATATTTATGACTTGAAAGGCTCACTACGTAAACGACTAGTAGATGAATCGTCCAATAATGGAATGAATGCAAACTCTACTACTACAAATACTACTATACCTGCAGACCTAGCACAAACAACTGATGAAACCACAACTAATTCCGGTGTTGCATCGTACCATTCGTTTACATGCAATCAGTCAACAACAGTATCAGATAGTGGTTTGACTTCAGAGACAACTACAGTTAAACATAATGTACCTGTTCTTCTAGATCAGAATTTACTAAATGCTTCAATAGATAATCCGTTGTATTTAAGAGTTCATTCAAAGGTTAGTCTCTTTTATTAAACACTATTCATTAAACAAAAATGATCGAAAATCTTTTTGATAGGAAAATACTATAATTTCTCAAAATCTTCAGTACAGCCCTTTATTGTTTAATCAAACTACATAATGTTGATTCAAGTCATTCATCATAAATTTTTTTATTGTCTGTCTACTGAAACCTTCTATATGCAGATATCTTTGATTAAAACCAAAAATTACACGTTCTGTTTGTGAAAGTTTATGTGCCTTATTTAACACTAAAATGTTTAAATAAATATCCCATATACGCCCAACACTAAACAAAAATGCGCTAAATAATCATAACAACCCATTATTTCGATGTATTTTGATGCTAAGTGGAACATTTGATATGAATGCATATTTATTTTAATGTTCTACGGTTTTCTGACTGATGTATGACTTAGTTCATGCTTTTCATGAAATAGAATTTATTGTAACACACTGAATGACTATCCTATCTATGTTTCTGGGAACAAAAATTTACTTGCTCGGTAAAAAGAATGGTAGATATATACTCTGAGCTGTTTAAATTAAGTCATGTATTAAATAGTTGGGGGTAGTGTATGAGTAGTCATGAACGTAGGTTTCACCCTATTCGGCACTCATCGTTAAGGCGTACCCGCAATCTTGACAGAAATAATACTGTTTGCAGAATGCAATAAAATTGATTAACCTTTTTATACTATGTGAATAGTTTTCATTGACCGACTGTTTGGTTTTAACACTCCTCGAATTTTTTTACATTGTTTAATAAACCAGACAATTTTTAATTAGTATTTAGTAGTCTATACATTATCTTGCATATATTATGCATTTGTGTTTATGAGTTTACTCTTCTTTCTTATGTCTCTCACTGTTTTTGTTATGGAAATGGAACTTATGAACTTTGTTTCTCAGGTATCACTGTTATTGCTATCAGTTACGTAAGCTTTAGACTTTCTACTTCCGATTCCTATAAATTCCATGATCAATTGTACACTACCACGGATCAAATATATACGTTTGTAATTATTTTGTTTCCTCCATTTAATAAATAATTTTCACCAAGCAAAACATTCTTGCATTCATATACAAAAGCCTTAGATTATTCTCATTTACTATTTATGTGGTTTGTTCTGTTTAGCGTAAACATATAGTTTTGTATATTTGTTTAATAACAGTAGCCCGTTTTAACTTGTTATTGTGTGTGTGCATTTAATGATTTATTCCCTTGTTCTCTTATTTGTTTTTCTAACTTTCAGAATGCTCTTTCACATTGTCTAAATATGGATACTGCATTTTTAGCAAATCTATTTATTATGGATTATTCTCTATTAGTCGGTGTTGATACAACAACTAATCAACTTATTATTGGTCTAATTGATTATCTACGTAAATTTACATTAGATAAACGTTTAGAAATGATTATTAAACAAACAATAACTAGTGCGCAAGGTCCAATGCCAACTATATTAACACCAGATTTATATCGTGAACGTTTTCTTTATCAATTGCATAGTTATTTTCCATTATTACCAGATCAATGGTATGATAGTTTAGCTGAACATACTGAAAATTGGCGTGTATCATCTGTTCAACGTAAATCTTTATCAGTAAATAAGACAAAGTGAATATTTGATTTATTTATATTTATACCAGAAACTGTGAATAGTAAATAATAAGTGATTACCATAAATGAATAAGATTAACTTACTTTTATTATTATTACTACTGTCTAATCCTTATTTTCTATTTTTATGATTCTAATCATATATTATCATTGAAGCAAACACAGTTGATATTTATTTTTGTCAATTATAATTTCTTGTTTTATTTTTAGCATTCTTTTATTTATTTCACAATTTGTCTTTCATATTATATAATCGTCTTATGTATTTTTGGAGAATACACTTTCAAAATTGAATGCAGTTTTTTCTCATTGTTACTGACTATGTTTGGGATTTGTTCCACTATTACTGTGAATGCAGAATATTCTTTTAGGGCTGATCTAGGTAAACGCTTTAACCAATTATAGGTAGTGAAATAGCTGAGTGCATCAACCACTTCAATTATTTCTGAAGTTCTATCGACCGTGGTGATTTGGTGTTTGATGAAATCGCAGGATGATTTCACTTGACCTTCACCAACTTGTTTATCAGGTAAATAAGTTGATAAATTAATGAATCTCCATCGACATTTGTTGTACCATTAGTAACCTGGTTTTTTTATATAGTTAGTGTATCAAAAACTAATTGATCCTCTTTTATATCAAGCATTTTTGCTAGAACTTAAATCTTACCTTAATCTGAACATTTCTTAGGTACCACTTTAGTGTATTTAGATTACTAAGGTTTATGTATACATGTTTGCATATGTTTTTTCACCTGTTCTTGTAATGCATAGTATGTATATCATTCATCAAGGAAATTTTTCCTAACTTATAAAAGAGCACCTTGATCAGTAAAATAAAACTCAGAACTACAAATTTTCTGTTCTGGAACATGTGACTGACCATAACACCATAATATCTCAATCACTGTTATTTTTTTCTTCCACCAAAGTTCATCAATTCAGTTCTCATTACCATTATGGTTATGTTACTACCTTCAATCGATCATGATTGTCGTTTCTAATAAACTTTATTTACCCACATCAAACTTCACACCATTATATCTTATTTTGTAGTTAGGTCTTAAGTCTTTCGTTTCGTACATCTACTTTGTTTCTAAGTCATTAACGAACAATTTATCTATTTTACATATTATTATTAAATGCATTCTACAAATTCCAATAATCATATACGTCTTCGTAAATAAAGAAAACCTGTTCATTAGATTAAATCATATCACATGGATAAAATCGTCGACGAAATTGTCGAAATTTATACTTTCTTCAGTGAAATTTATAAGTTATTTCTACACTTCTTCAATCAAATTTAAACAAAAATAACCACAAATAATGAATAAAGTCGTGTATTTAATATGACACAATTATTGTCTTTTTTCTTCATGACCATTAATCACTGTTCATAAGACGTTACCCAGTAAGCAAGAGGATTGCCCCAACCAACTTCCATCTGAAGGGTATGTATTTCATTCAACAATTCCGTATCATTTAATTTCATCTAAAATGAAAGTTTAATATTACTATTGGGATCAGTGAAAAAAATGTTTTTACAAGTGAATTGATGAAATCTACTGTTATTTTCTCTTTGCTTCACTTACCAAATGCTTTAGCTATAAATAGGACATGGAAATGTGTATGTCAACTAAAACGATTTCCAACTTGAATGTACTTATTTGTTTATATTTAGCAATTCTATATGTGTCTAGGCAAGATCTTTGATCTTTTCGCTGTAAATCAGATTGGTTATACAAGTATTTACATTTATTTAACTTTTGTACGCACCATAGCGCGATCTGTTTATTTGATTTGTTGGAGCTATTCACTTGATGGGATCAAAAGATACTTTGTTTGGATGATTCGTAATTCTACCAAAGGTGTGTTCCTTTAAACTTGGTTTTTGTGGAGAATTTGGATAATTCAAAGCAAAGCTCATCACTTCTCTCAATAAAAGAAGAACCAAGTAATTAAGTGAATGCAACTTCTGATGATTCATTTGGACATTCAGTAATGTTTGAATGACCTTGTTGAAGAGTCCAAATCAATCATTCAAATTATCCTTCCCCTTAACATCCCAAATCGAAAGATCAAGCATAAACACTCTTGTATGATCACTAGTAATATCTATTCATTGTTAATCGTTTCCTATCTTCATTGTAATGTTATATTCATTGCCATATCTTTTATGCTGCGAAGATCTTTACTTAGAGACTAACCAATTCTTGGAATCCCCATACTAAGTTACACCCCTTTGCTAACATTCCATGTGTCTTTTATTGATTTAAGTAGTATGAATACTCTCACCCTTTGAATAGACGTTTACACCATTAGATATCCGTCTCACTATCGTGATAAACTGTCAATAGCCCTATTATGATCTCCATGTTGATTATTAAGAGTAGAAGATATTCGTAAGATAGTAGTATTTGACCACAGATGTCTTATAAATATTGCTCACAACTGCTGGGATCACCGGGTAAGTAATAGTGAGGTTAAACGTAGGGTATTACGGAATGATGGAAATCAGTTGGTGAGGTTGTGGATCTTCATAGACTGATATAGTTCGGCCATATATCACTCAATCTGACTAGTGTTGGAGATGGTTGAAAGAGAGTTAGGGGTGGCCAAACCAAAATGTGGCATCAGTCCTTGGAGTCACTAACTTCTAGTCTGAGCCATGTTGGTAGATGCAAACTACTTGGTTGGGGTCCTCGTGACTATCCTAACCATTGGTTGGAGACTCTGTGTGACATGGCTCAGAATCGATCACAATGGCGCAGGTTTATACACTATTTGTCTTCCCTTAAACCTTGAGATTAAAATTACTTTATACTTTTCTTCCTACGAACTAATTCTTTATTCCTCTATTTTATCCTCATATGCAACCATCGAAGTAACTGCTCCTATGAATTTAGTGTTCATCTTGTTGTGCTAATGAGATGTGGCAACTTGGACCGATGTATATATGTCCCTAGTTCTACGTTGTGGCTGATTGTTGTTGGGATCTGATTCGTTTTATCAGATATCTTTTTTACCAATCAAAAGTCACTTATTTCATTTTGTTTCGTTTCTATGAGTCATTTTATTATTTGAGGTAATCAGCTTCTGTTGTAAATAATTTAAACTGATGAGTGTTGTTGTATCTTTAAGGTCGGCTAATTATCACGTGATTTATTCGTTAATGGAAATTCGACTTATAAGAATCTCAGTACTGTGCCAGACCAATGAAGTATGAGCAGCCCAGCGACCCTATCGGTCCTTTTTCCTCTTAGCCCTTCCACTTGAGTCGAAAAAGGCTAATAACAGCTTCTACTACGCGAAGCATTTGTTCCAAACATACTTGGTTTATATACCAGCCAAACAGACTGCACCACATAACTTAAGAACAGTAAATCATATCGTAATAATCTATAAGTCAAAATGAAGCCTATAATAAAAGGAATATAGATATACACATTCTAGTTACTGAAAAGTTATACAATTATATATATATATATATAATATTAGTCCATTGATAGTTCGCAGAAGTTACTCGTAGTATGTACTCGCTTCGGCGGTACATATACATATATCCCGACCGTTGCTGCTACCTTGACGTGGTGGTCGGGCTTGCCTGTCGTGATGATCCAATCGAGCTATACTGGCTGGAACAATCGTTCCTCAAGGTCCTACCATGCCAGACAGGTCGGTTGAAGAGCGGTGAGACTAAAAGCAGCAATCCCAAGGTCCGAAGGCGAAGTCGTACTGCTGACTGTACAGAGGTGTGAAAGCAGTAAGGTGTTTCCTTCAGAAAACCAGCATGACAGCGATGCTGCCTTCCCACAAGGAGGGGTGGGGTTAGAAAAGGTCGACCCGAAAAATGCACACCTCGCCTTATCCCACGGATTTCCGTCTCCGGCGGTAAGGACTTTTGAAGAACGGAGCTAACACATCAAAAATCCCCCACAAAAAGGCCGTGCGTGACCGGCCTCAAGCAGTTGTCCCTTGGGCACTGCGGTCACGCTACCAGGTTGTTAAGACCAACACTAATTCAACTTCTTTTTCAGGTCCCTCAAGAAATACCCTTCCACGGTGTGGGCAGCCGGGAAGTGATACTAGCCCTCATACCCTTAAGTGCACACAAGACCAAGTTGGTCGCTTTCAAATCCTTCCTACACCTAATAACTCTGTTATCTCCTCGACTAACCCTTCTCACGTCTTTTCATCACCTCACACCGCTAGGGCAAACGATTCGAGTACACAGAACGTTATTCCTGGTCTCCTGAAACCACGCTCTAAACTACATATAGGAACTTTTAATGTCCGAACATTGTGCCAAATAGGACAACAGGCTTCCTTAGCTAGGACTCTAGAATCTTACACCATCGATGTGTGCTGCGTCTCCGAAACGCGCATACAAGTTCCGAGTAGTGTCATTCATTTGACTTCACCTAATCAAAATAAACAACCATCTCGATACACGCTTCGTGTATCTGGAAGCCCTGATGCTGCTTCCCGTGGCCTCGCTGGAGTAAGTATAGCATTAAGTCCTAGGGCAGAATTAGCTCTTTTAGACTGGATCCCAGTAGACAGTCGTCTATGCGCTGTCCGACTAAACGGATCAGTAAGGACCCGGAAAGATAGGGAAACTCGTCGTTGCCTCTTCGTCGTCTCTGCCTACTCTCCCACTGACTGCAGCTCAGACGATATAAAAGATGAGTTCTACAGGAAACTTTCTGACCTCCGAAAAGCTAGGCGTTCTGATGTAGTAATGGTGGCAGGTGACTTTAATGCTCAAGTAGGTAAACTAAGTGAAAGGGAAAGACACCTGGGTGGATCTTATGGTGTCTTGGCGAAAAGAACAGATAATGGCGACCGTCTGTTGCAGCTATGCTCAGATAACCGCCTATTTCTTGCAAATACTAACTTTAAGCATAAGGAAAAACATCTTTTGACATAGCGACCCCCGAATTCGTCCCAACGTTGGACCCAATTAGATCACATCGCTATCAGCCACCGATGGAGGGGCTCGATAGAAGACTGTCGCTCATTCTGGGGCACATGCTTAGATTCAGATCATGTTCTAGTGCGAGCACGTATCTGTCTGCGTCTTACTGGTCGTAGGAAAGACACTGCAGGGAAGCCTCTAAGGGTTCTACTTAATGATAGGCAAGCTAAGAATATATTTCAAGAACAACTAGAAAAACAGTTAGGCAGCCATGTAAGTTGTGTCCACCCCGAGGCAGCGTGGAATGACATCCGAAAAGCTGTGGAAACAGCAGTGATATCCGCTAATAAGGTAAACCATAAGGTTAGGGAGAAACACTGGATCTCGGCAGCATCTATCGCACTGATAGATGCTCGTAAACTCATCCCACCTGGCTCTGAACATAACGAAGAGCGGAGTCAACTTAAGCGCAGGCTTATAAGAAGCCTACGTAATGATCGTGAACAGTGGTGGGTAGCGAAAGCAAGAGAGATGGAAAAGGCAGCGGCAATAGGTAACAGTAGGCAGCTATTCAGACTCGTTAAAGAAACCGGTATTGGGAACCTGAATATCAGTGAAACCATCTCAGATAAAGATGGGCATAATATTCATTCTCAATCCAGGAGATTGGATCGATGGGCAGAACACTTTAGGGATCAGTTCAACTGGCCTGAATGGAAAATTGATGTAAGTCCTCCAACCCTCTGTAAGGTTGAAAAAGCTATAGGAAATCTGAAGCCAGGGAGAGCAGCAGGCCCTGACAGGTTGACCCCTGAGATTTTTAAGGATGGTAGTCCAGTACTAGCAGTGAGATTGACTGAGGTCTTAGGTAGAATCTGGGAACTGGACGTAATTCCATCTGATTGGTCCCAATCACTGATTGTGCCAGTCTATAAGAAAGAACAAAAGTCCTCCTGTGACAATCACAGAGGGATCAGTTTGATTAATATAGTGTCTAAAATATTAGCTTCAATAATACTAGATCGCCTAACCAAAGCTCGTGACGAGCAGACTAGAGAAAACCAGTCTGGTTTTCGACCTGGACGTGGTTGCATAGACCAGATATTCACCCTACGTCAGGTTCTAGAACATAGACACAAATTCAGACGTCCCACAATAGTAGTATTTCTTGACCTTAAGGCGGCATTTGACTCCGTTGATCGTGAGGTTCTATGGCAATGTTTGTCATTGAAAGGAGTACCAAAGAAGTACATTAACCTCATAAAGGCTCTCTACTCGAACACAACTGGTCGAGTTAGAGCCTATGGCGAACTGTCATCAGAATTGATTACCTCAAGTGGCGTTCGTCAGGGCTGTCCACTCTCCCCATTCTTGTTTAACTTTGTCATTGACATACTTTTGGTGATAGCACTTTCATCAGCTAAACCTCCAGGAGTTGAACTTTTACCAGGAGGCTCACTTGTTGACTTAGAATACGCCGACGACATAGTTTTACTCGGTGAAGACGCTGACAACATGCATAGTCTTCTGACCACTATAAGCAACTATGCAGGCATGTTCGGAATGCGATTCTCTCCCTCGAAGTGCAAAATGTTACTTCAGGATTGGGTTGCATCGACACCTGAACTAATGATAGGGAGTGAAGTAGTTGAGCGTGTAGACCACTTCACTTATCTTGGGAGTCTCATCAGCCCTTGTGGTCTGGTATATGACGAAATCTCAGCACGGATACAGAAAGCTCGTCTAGCTTTCGCCAACTTGCGTCATTTATGGCGTAGGCGAGATATCCGTCTAGCAACCAAAGGACGGGTTTACTGTGCAGCAGTTCGCTCTGTCCTACTTTATGGCAGTGAAACATGGCCAATAAGAGTAGAGGATATTCGTAGGCTACTAGTGTTCGATCATAGGTGTCTTCGAAGCATTGCTCGTATATCCTGGGACCACCGGGTAAGTAATGCAGTT